ACATTGTAAAAATATACTGTCAACATTTTACAAATTATTCTGAAAATAATTGGTTCCGTAAGTAGTGTCCCCTACTTTCAAAACCACTGCCCTATTTCCCTCATGATTGAAAGTTTACACATGACAGAAATGTAAATTTCACTCATTGGAAATGTTTGTCAAATAACAATAACAGAAACCCTGATCAGAAGCCACGCCACCATTCACAATGAGAGCAAAAAGTATATATCATTCAAAATCTGGCCAAAACAATGAAATCTATGAGTGTGTGTAAACTTTTCAATATGTCTATGGAACTTTACCTTGACTGATGACTGCTATTATTCTCAGTTCCTCAGTCTATCCCAACTTAACGGATTATTAAAAAAATAATAACTGAAATACAGTGCAGACTTTAACCAATTGCCATTGAACATACAACAATTTATTAATTTTTGCTCCAAACCACCGGCTTTTACTGACAGTCCCAGTCTTTGACAATTAGAGATGACAGAATCTCCATCTCCATTAAAATGTGATGGTGTGCACAGCTCGAGTTACAAGATTCGCTGTGAATTGTGAAAAGGCAACAGCTGAGAGGAAGAAAGGTGTTGCAGCAAATAACAAAACTAACACTTCAGTACAGATTGGAAAATAACACGTTTCCACTTATATCACAAATTGCTAAGAGATGCTTCAACACAAAAATATTCACATCCTTTCAATTTTGGTTCAATCAAAGCTGCAGCTACTAATGCATAAAGCCGCCATCTGTAAGCAGCTCCGCACCAACTGTTCCTTAAGCAACAAATAACACAATTGGAACTGGAGATGGAGACGTCGCATGAAGAGTGGTTTTACGCCTTCCTCTTCTGATCCGTGCATGCGTGAGCTTCAGAACATGAGACCGGGGAGTCCAGGCCTGCACTGCTGTATCATGGACTACACTTGGATCATTATTCACGGCTCATTCAGTCCAATAAACCTAAAGTGAGAACGCAAAGCCATCGAAAACTACTGGTGCGATGGAGTCCCAGTCAATTTGAATTACATGGTAAACGTTACGCACATAAAGGAAAGTGTGGTCAGCAGTATATGGCATTTACATTACACTGAGGAAAGTATAGTATCAAATTGTGTTTTGTGTTTGTTTTCATAGTTCTAATGATTCTTGATTATCTAATACATGCAATCTCTATACAGACAATAACAATGGCAATATAACAATATATTTTAAATGTATTTACAATGTTTTCCTATAGATGGTGTTCAAAGTGACATCACAATATTCCAAAGAGCCTATAGATTAAAATGATTATGGAGGGTAGCTGAAAAATCAATCAAAGTCAGACTTATGTAGCTAATTTCCCTCTTATTCCTGGGACATATCACACAAAAACAAGTCACACATTTCCATATATTCCTGTCAGTCCATGTCAATCATGGTTTTAATTATTTTCTCATAAAAAGGTGTCTAGAAGTGGTGACAACATTTTGAAGAATAAAAAATGGAGAAAGGATTTTCAGACATATGGTGATTTATCCATCTTCTTCATCAGATCTTTTTGAAAAATGCTTCTTTCCCAAAGAGTTGTCACTTCCCCTCAAATTGAAATGTATTTCTACAACATGAACACAACCTGATAGACTAAAACAGGGGTCTCCAACCACTTTTCAGCATCTAAACACAGATTAGTAATAAACCATACTCCCCTAGAGAGTAAAAAATGGGATAAAATCAGATTTGGTATATTACTATAATTGACTCTTTCAATAATGGTGAAATTGTTTTGCTTTTATTGGTTGCTTTTTGTTGACTAATTTATTGACGAGGCATATTGATCCAGATGAAAGATATTAATAACACACATATGCTATATGTGTTACTAATCTAAACTATAAATCAACTATAACAAACACAAATCAGTGTGCTTTTGCCAACATCATGCAAAAAAAACTTCAAAAGTACGATCCTAGAATGGTAGTCATTTATAGTCCACCCAGACACTCGTTATGATTTTGCACGTATATCAAATCAAAGTATATTTGGCAATACCCCCCAGTGTTTTCTTTCAGTGGATTATAAATCCCTCATTAAAAAGGCTCATTTGGATCTCACATCTGAACATTTCCTTTACACTTTTAATCCAACCTTTTCCATCTGCGTATCCAGATGACATGACACGCAATTAACTTTGGGATAACTACACCGGCAGATTAGCAAGCTGCATTGACTTTCACATGCCCGTTTTGATGAGTTCATTTTGGGAATTATCACCAGAACTTTTTGCCCCTAAGTAGCGTGTGATTGGCCGTCTTGGATGTGATCCCAATGATGAATGGAGAATATGAGTGTTCCAAAGCGTGATGGAGAGAAAAATTGCTATCATGAGGCTGTTTATTTTCTAGCTAAAACGTAAGATTTAACACTTTAACGCCTTCCAAAGTGCCCGAGCGTTGATGCGATTTGAAAGACACGGCCAGGTTACCATCTGCTAGAGCCTAATGAAAAAAGTGCCTGTGCAGACTGGGTTGGAGTTGGCTGCAGAGCAAAGGGAGGTGGATGTTCCTCTCTGGCACATGGGCTGGTCTTTATTTACTGTGCTGTGTTTGCTGTGTACACCTGGAGGCAGCCAGCGGGAGGGGAAGCTCATTCCTCATCTCTGCTACTTACACTCCCCTCTGTCCTGGCTACCAGCATTCCAAATTAGTCACCGCGAAACTGCACAATATGTGGAGAGCATAGACGCATTCTGCCAGTCAGACTCTACTTCACAGATGTATTACACTTATAGCTTTCTAATCATGTGTGTTTGTGCCCTGAAAACACAACGGATCTGGCTCTACTCTTTCAGAGAGATAAAAATGTAGAGAGCAGTTTGTACTTGGAAGAGGATCAGGAGGGTTTTTTTTGTCCAAGTGTCTTTGTAGAACTCACTTTTTACTTTTGACATCAATATTTCTTTTACATGTTGCTCAAAATACTTTATTGGCCTGAACTGAAAACTCAAATATAAATAAAGATTTGCTTTTTTACTTTTCACCTGCTGATCTTCGTGGTGAAGTTAAGGCATCACAGGAAATGTTACAGACTATGGCAGGAAACTTCCACCAGATCTTCCATTCAACATTCATGAATTACGTGCTGAATAAGTGACCAGAGTTTTGCAGCGTTCGCACGGTTTTATCCCAAAGCAAAATATGGAAGCTCCCCTAAGCATCTGACATACTGCCAATAAATACGTTTGCGTCAATATTCACAATATTCAGATAACCAGAAAAATCAAGTGGCAAAGTACTGACTTCTGCATACTGTTGTAATGATCAGCTCTGTTTTAACACAATTTGCACAAAATAGTATTATAAAAGATCCATAGATCTAAGACCTAAGTAGCTTCTCCTCCAGGCTAAAAAGATAGTGGAGCCAACCATTAACAGATAATGACAGTTCAATATGCCTCCTCATCACTGTGAAAACACATTATAAACTTGTTTGTAATCTGCAGTATAGTATATTTTCATGATTATAATCTTAATTATAATAATAATGCATCCGCATTTCAAGACACTAAAAGACGCATCACATGTCATTATTCTTTCGCTCCATTAATAGTGGTGATAAACTACTACTGTAGCTACAGCTGCCCTGGGGCACACTAACAGAAGCAAGGCAACCGGTAAATGCCATTGGCCCCTCCGACCACCACCAGCCATTCACAGACACACACTCACACACACACCAGACTAATACTAGGCAATGTGGGTGAAGTGTCACACACAACAACAGTTTGGCATTTACAGCCGCCCACTGTGGCACCTGATGTTCCCTGAGGTCTCCCATCACAGTTCTAACCAGGCCCTGCCATGCACAGCATCTGACAGGATCTGACTTTATGTTGCATTTACTTGGTTCGCATGCAAGTATTGTGGCCATACTTGCATGCGAACCAAGTAAATGCAACATAATTAAACCAACAATTGCATCATATCCTCCTGTGTTGAGCTACCAAACATTCTGCTCTTATCCTTGGGGAAACTGCAGGCTTACCCCAACTCTGGGCTTATTTTACAGCCCATATGACTTTGTTCCATCATTAGCACTGCACACCCTGCCTCCCAAATGAATGATAGGCCTAATTATGTGCATACACTTCTCATATTGCACATATGCTAATCACCATCTCGTTACATGGCAGAACTGAGAAGCCGTCTAGATTTCAAACAAAGAGAGGGGGTAGACTTGACATGGCCCTAATTAGACAAAGCTGTCGGTAGAAAACAGCTTTTGTTTTGATGTGATTTCTTCTCACATCAACAAGAAATCCTCACGGGTAATCTGCCGTGCAACAAAAAATGAAGGATCCCAGCCCAGAGAAGGAACCTAACTGCTTAAGTGGTCGGTTATAAGGGGAAGGAGACTGTGGTGTCTGCTTGGCTCTGAGAGGAATGTCTTCAGCTCACATGCGCTCAAAGTGAATGAATGTGGAAACAGCAGTCTAATTACTACAGGCACAAGAGTCGACTTTTTGCAGCAGGAAAAGCAGGTTCTAAGCATGGAGCAGCTGGAGCAAACCTGTTTTAATCAGATGTGCCACTGGGCCAAAGCCTGCAATGCACACATTACTCAGGCAATAACAGTATGACCAGTATAAATGACCAGCCTTAGCCTTATACAGTACTGCAGATGTTCAAATGGCTGGGCAGATAATCAAATGTAAAATTGCGATTGCAATTATTGCACTACTTTTTAATGTGTACAAAATATTGTAATCTGAACTTGTAGCTTACACTTTATAAAGAGTTGTAATAGCCAGCTTTCTGTTGCTTATAACCATAGACTCATTTTAACCTGCAACTTCTGGTATAGCATCTGCAAACTATCAGAAGGTGGCTATATTTAATTGAGACTTTGGAACTCATCGACAACAGAATGACAATTTATTGGCTTAGTATTACTTTAGAGATGTAGTAACTTAAGTAATACATAAACATAATGAATAAACAGGTTGCAAAGGGCTTACCCACTCTCCTGGACGCCTGCAGTGCTGAGGCGTCTCTGATGGCCCTAGCCCACCTCTCAGCCTCCTGGAGGTTGGCCACGGGGTCCTGGACCAGCGCGACCCGAAAACACTGCTCCACTCTCTGGCGCGCCACTCCAGCGCTCATCCACCGCCTCTTGAACGGGTAGAAATAGGCGGTAAAGTAGGCGCCAACATCCCCGCGGTCTGGAGCTTCGTACGCCCGGCAGCCCACACAGTCTCTCAAGTGGAAGAGCACCGTGCTCCTGTCGGGGGACGCGGAGATGCGCTGGATGGTGAGTGCGCTCTCGGACAGGCTCACCGAGAACCGGACGCTGTCGTTCTGAGAGTCGCTGAACTCCCCGTACAAGACGCCCTCCAGCCCGTTCTGTAGGCAGGAGGACTCCGGGGCACACTGCTCCATCCCGGGCAGAGGCTGGCGGTGCCGCAGGCCGGTGAGCGGAGCGCGGTGAAGAGTCAGAGCTCACTCTGGAGCTTGGAGCCCGCGGTGGGACGCTTTGACAGACAGCGTAAGGAGAGAGGGGCTGCTCCGGTCCGCTGTCTCCTCCTAGTGACCACAAGAGGAATAGCCGCAGTTCTGGGCAATCACTTTAGTTGACTATCCAAAACATTGTATAAACTCTCAATTTTGTTTTTGTCAGAGTCATAGACCGCATATTCGTTAAATAAATGAATGTTGTGAACAAAGACCACATCGTGCTGTCATCATCTTGTTTGAAAAAAACAAAACATGTCATAATTAACATACTTGTAAGAACGCCATGAGTCACTTGACTCTTTGAGCTGAATGTGCATCGGTTGAGTAAGAGTGATTCGTTCATCCTCACTTTTTTGTCTGATAAAGCTGATCTAATAATGTGATAGAGGCCAACAACACATGTATGTGAAATAGAGCCCATTAGCCATTAGCCCACAGCCCTAACAGCCTAAAAGTGACACACAGGAATCCGTCTTACAAGCATTCTAAAGAAAACGTGTTTTCTAATGCGGCTGTTGTGGCCTGATTTGTTTACAACATTTTACTTTTACAAGACTCTTTCTGTTGGGACACACCTTTAAAAGAGAGCGGCCTCAGTTTAAAGATAATCAACTCCATTACCTCATCGCGTTTTCATTTCATTAAATGAGCAGAATTATTACGTGTCTATGTCCAAGTTGGCGTCACAAAATCACGTGGGATGTCTCGCCCAAATAAATAGCCCTCTCCACTGCCGTTCTTTCATTCACTCTTCCGGAGCGAGGCAACATGGGGTCCCACAGCGAGCGGATCGCTGAAACACATTATCTGTATGTGGATCCAGTCCAACCACCATGACAAGGTGAGACTAGAGAATAAAAAGATGTGCCTATGTTCTGATGGCGCTGATATTATTTATTTGGATGCAAGCTACAATTCCTTACCGCTGTTAGCATTAGCATAGCCGCTAAGCTACTCAAGCTAACGTGCCACGTGCTTCAGACTGAAAGTGCCTTCCACATTAACTTAAACTTTTATTTTACAGATAATGGAGCTGAAAGGTCTACAGTTTTGGCATCAGGTACTTACCATGTGTAACTACTTAAGACAATAACGTCAAGGCATGTATGATGAGTTGTTATCCCTGTCTGAAAAAGCTGTAGAGGAAAAAAAAAATACTGAAATGCTTCAAATTATTTCCACTTTTTTGTTTAGCCTTTAAAGCAAATTGTTAATACGTCATGTCCTTGCAGGCCATAAACACGGGTTGATTTCCCCACTGGGACACTACAAAAGCTATGGCATCGCCGAGAAGGTATGTATTTATTGTAAACTTTCATGCATACATTTCGGTGATGAAAGTGCTGCATAGGAAGTGCCGTCTGATGCGATAACTGACGATGGCCAAAGCATTTCTGAGAAGGATTGTTGTAGTTTTGTCTTTTTCTATGTACTGAAAATATTAAATTGTTGCATTATTTTTGCCAGGACTGAAGCTGGGATACTCTGCCGGTAATTTTAAACTTTTATTTATTTTGAAATTCAGTGCCCGTGATGATAAAAGTTATCCCTGTCTGACATTTTTTGTGTTGAGCAATGGTAACCTGAGGCAATTTGTCCAAGAGATGGCTGTCCTTTTATTTAACTGTATTTTAATGGGACTTTTTTCATTCTAGGGTCAAGACTCTGGTAACCTTCTGGAGTGGAACTGGACATGCTTGCTTCTGTCCAGAGTTGCATAGCCAACTGCATCCCCAGTGTGCCAGTGAAGTACATGGCACAGAAGATTCTTATGTCCTGCAACTTGGTGTGCATACAGAGACAGAAGCAAAATCTCATGTTTATTGAAAGTTTGTCATAAAAAGTAAAATATGTAAACTTCAACTGGTCGTTAATCATTGCAATTAAGAGAACTGTAAGACTTCTTCGTTAGGGTCTCAAGGAAGGCTTTTTCATCCTCAAGAAAATCACGGTCCTGAAAAGTTAAACGTTTGGTCACTTAGCCATTACCAGGGACAAGCTTTAATCATCAAGGAGACGTACCTTTTCTGCAGTGTACTTCCATAAGGCCAAACTTGCCTGTAAAGCCATTGCCTGAGAGTTGGCACTAGTATTCGGAAAGATGTCCACCATTTGCTGTGTACTAGGCATGTGGGTGAAGTCTTTAAATAAAAAGAAAATGATTGCAAGCTTTTATAAAAAGGGTAGGCTGAATATCACCTGTTGGCATTTGAAGGACTGAGGCAAGTGTGCTGGGTTTTGGCTGCTCCTTCACCAAATTTGCTAGTTGCATTCTTTCCTGAAATCAAATTTGAACTTATTTTGTAGCGTATGTTGGTCTATTAAACCTGATTGTCACTTTGCTCTAGTTTTCATTATACATTAAGGTGTCTGGCACACACCTGAAGGATTCTCTGTTCCTGTTGTCTCAGTTTGTCCGTTTGAGAATGGATATGTCGAAGTCTTGCCTCATGCTCTGCCTCCACAAGTTTGGCCTTATGCAGCGCTTGCTCCCCTTCGTCAAATTTGTCTGCAGCAAGCTTGTAACATCAAGAAATTATATCATGACAATATATACTCAGAATATTAAATAACAAGAAAATCGTGAGACCCCTGATAAAATTATATTTCATGGACTAGAAATGGCATTCAGTCACCTGTCTCCATACCCTGATCTTGGGATTTACTTAGTATTGGAGGAGATCAAGGGAGTGGAATGTTTTATTCAATAATAAACACAAGACATGAAATTTCAATTATGAAAAGCTCTATTTTTAGGCATTATGCTAAGAAGTGTTTCAATGCAGTCACCAGTATGTCTCATAACAGCAATATTACAATATTACATTCATATATTGTGAGGTATTTTCAGAATTAAGTGGGAGTGTTGGGAGTACATACCTTACTGAAAGCCTCCACCTCCTGAGCTCTTGTCTTCAGTCTCAATGCAGTAGCACTGATCCTTTCCTTCTCTCTCTCCAGCTCTTCCCTCAGTCTATCCAAATTTTCCCTCTCTTGTGATACTGCAAGCTCCTTTTGTTTTAACTCTGCCATGCGAAGCTTCAGGTCTGCTTGCTCCTACAGATAAACGGAGAGAACATTTTCAACGACGTGCATCGGTTTAAATGTAAAATTCACAATTCTGTAATTAGACAGAATAATTGCATGAGGAATGAGTGACTCAATTAAAAATGTAATTGATTTTGAAGTTTTTTTTGTACATAAAATACAATAAACAAAAGACTAAATATTATATGGTGCAGAGGCTTTCTGAGTGGATTCAAGTTACACTCCCCCCTCTTCCCCTACTTTGAATATGATGTATAAGTGAGTGACTGCTGGTGTGAATGAATATAAAAGCCTGTCACAATATTCACCCTGTCAAAATATCAAGAAATTATTACAGGAACATAAATGCATATGTATACGTACAGTGGAAGTGTTTGGGCCTTTGTCTTGTGTGCATATTTTGTATAGTGCTGTATGATTATTGTGCATTGCTTTTTATTACTTCTGTCTTTTAAAGTACATACAGTACGTTTGAAATGAATAATACGAAAATTAACATGACCCATAGCGTTTGCCTTATTGCACAAGTAGCTGATTGGAGCAGTGGAGGTTGCAGGACTTAGAAGTGGGGGTAGCATGATGATTTTTAGAAGCAAAATTATTATTTCAAAAATCTATTTAGTCAACTCTTTGTATAATAAACACTATTCAAGGAACAAATAATAATTCCAAGTTAAGTATTCATGCTTGAAATTGTGGAGAGTTAATCAGACGCAAGCAGCAGAACGCACCTGTGCCATGCTGATGATGGAGCCCTCCCTTCTCTCCAGCAGACTGCTCACTTCCCTCTCAGCCCTGTCATGTCTCTGCTTCTCCTGAGCATGGAAGCTGGCCCACTCGGCTGCCAGCCTCCTCCTCTCCTCTGCACAGTGCTGCATCACCGACTTCTGCTCCTCCAACAGCGCACTCTGATGCAAACAAAACAAGATATAAATACATACTGTACACTGGGCTGTGTTCTCAATAATATGTGCCGTGCATCTCTTATCTTTGTTTTTCGAAATTATGTGTGTTTGATGTAAATGAATGGTCCAAATGATGTTCCATGGGCCAAGTATGACAAAAATAAAACACAATTCTTAGAAGTTTAAGCTGGAGCACCTAACCTTCCATCACTAGTGTCCGCGGCACATGGATGCATATTTGGTCTCTGTCACATCTTTAGATCATAATTTTCAGATGGAAAAGTTAAAAGAGATGATAAGTCCACACTCAGCCACTTAGTTTTCTATATGTAAAAGATAAACTGTTTTCTAATGAGATCAACACAGCATGTTGTGGTTCTGATTTGCTAGGGATGCACCAAACCAAGGCTAAAATAACCAAATTTGGAGTTCGGTTAAAAGGGAAGGAAACAAAGACAACAACAAACCAACCTAATATCCAAAATAGTAATGAAGAAAACAATGCCAACGCAACAAGAATCAAACTTTGTCTCTTAGTTTTTCTCCATGTTTTTTTGTTTTGAACGCAGCCACCTTTGCTCTTTCAAGCTCCTCTCTCTCCATAGTCATCTGCATGCTGAGGGAACGTCGCTCATCTTCAAGGGCCCTTTGTGTCGACTCCGCTTTCGCCTGCTCGGATGAGACTTTCCAGCGCTCCTGACAACAGCCATCAAAACAAAACTTTATTTTAGCATCCTGTGGTATCTGTGCAGGCAGATATTCTAGTGGTTACTAAAAATAGCTTAGATTCTTCAGGCATGTTTTCAAACCAGTGACCTTCTCGAGCTGCCTCTGCTGTTCATTGATCTGAGCGTCCATCCTGGAAATGATTTCTTTGAGGTAAGCCTTCTCTTCAGACATGGATTTCTGCTGCTGTGTAAGGCGATCCTGCAGAACTGCAAAAACAAGATCAAAGAATGACCTCAAAGCAAAAAAGTTTTATAGCTCTAATGTAAATGGATTCATCACCATGATCAAACAGGCAAAGTATTCAAGTGTTTGCCGCAATAGCACAACAATAACATGTTAAGTTGGCAAAATGATATGAAAATAATGAGAGAAGGTGCGAGAAGGGGAATGGAAACACACAGGTGCATAGTTCTTTCAGACAAAAGTTTGAACCTTGAAACTTTATGAGAGATAAAAGATGAAATAATGAAATTCTAGCATTTAGTGAACGTGTGTGTGAAGCTAGGTTCTGTGTAGTTCAGCTCATGTACTGACTTTTCCATAGCTGTGAAACATCTATCATACTTTTATGACTGAAGAAAGGCATTTTTCAAACCTGCTTTCTTTTTGTGACTGGACCACTCATTACTCACAACCTTTCCTACTGAAGAAGAGCATACTACATAGAATTATCCTGTCTCTTTGTGCTGATTAGGGCTATAATATTAGGTATATATAGTAGATTTTCTACTTCCGGGTGGATCATCAATACAATTAGTCTTCCCAATTGTCAATCATTCTGGAGATACGTGCTCGTCAAATAAGACCAGAGAGCTTTGTTCAAAAAGTGGAGAGGGTGGTCCTTTCCTCAACTTTGGGAACATCTTCCTATATACCTTTAACTATTAACTTGATAATCAATCATTTGGACAATAATTCTTTCGACTCATTTAGTTGTTTAAATCCATCAAATAAGGGATTTTCAAAATGTATTCTACTATACAATGAGAAAAAAAACACATCAAGTCTATGCAGACTAAAACAAAGTTATAACAATGCCCCTCGAGAACATCTTCATGGAGAATAAATGTAACATGATTACTGTAACAAGTTCATTGACTACTTGCAACTAATAGATAATTGAAATAGATAGGGGTTTTCATTAAGCAACCCACAGTGGTTAGCGCAAGAAGGTCCTGGTTTGGCCTTTCTGTGTGGAGTTTGCATGTTCTCCCCATGTCTGCATAGGTTTCATCCAAGTTAATTGATGTTGATGGTCACTTTTTGTGATCTTGGTCCGTGAAATGCGCAATATAAATAAAGATTACTTATTACTTCTCTTGTTTCGGTCAAATGTATAAAAACTGACCTTTTGGGATCTTATCAAAATAAACGTTTATTGGAATCCTATATTTCTGTAGCAATTATAGCTCAGTTGGATTCATATAACCTCTTCTTCTGGTCTGGTACTAAATTAGTTGACAACTACTACAATAATCAATGCAATGCGATTAATCCGAGGGCAGATGGTCAAAGGCATAACTGTGAGAACATTTCGACAGCAACACCACAAAGAAAACTTGAACCCAAATGCAAAGTCAGTTTCCCCTGACCTACATAGACACCCTGACATGTGCGTGTTTGTCGTACTTCTAAGCTGCTCGTCCCTGTGCCGCGCCCCGAGCTCCAGACCGTGGGCTGTGTTATCATGTGTGCTCTCCACTCGACATGAAAGCTCCCCCAGACGAGATGAGAACTGCTCCATCTGCTCGATCACCACACTCAGGGACCTGCAGCATGGGACACAAGCGCAGGAACAGGTGTTGGCTGGACATACAGGAAGTACGATGCAGGATCCGAATATTACACGGTCAACTTCGATCCAGGACATTTAGGGAAATTTATGGACATTGGTCATCCCGCTACCCTGTGTTCATTATTACTGCATTTCCTGTGTTCTTGATTTAAATTCAAACACTTCCTCAGAGACTACTGCTGTTGTGATTTAGGGCTATGCAAAAATTAATTTAATGGAATGGAATAAAGGAATGGGGCTACACAATGTTGACAAAATACAAACTTGCAATATGGCTCACCAACAGTCCAATGTGGTTTTTGATTAGTAATAATAACAATAATATGACATCGCTTTTCAGGACACTCAAAGACGCTTCATACTGACAACTACAGCCCTGGGGCACACTGACAGAAGCGAGGCAACCAGTCTGTGCTATGGGTCCCTCCGACCATCTCCAAGCAGTCACACGCACACCAGAATAATTCTAGGCAATACGGGTGAAGTGTCTTGTCACAACAGCAGTTTGGCACTTTACAGCCGTAGCCTAGCCGCCCCTCTGTGGCACCTGAAGTTCTCCCTCGGGCGGCACGGTGGCTGAGTGGATAGCACTCTCACCTCTCAGCAAGAAGGTCCTGGGTTCGAATCCCGGTCGGACCAGGGCCTTTCTGAGTGGAGTTTGCATGTTCTCCCCGTGTCTGCGTAGGTTTCCTTTGGGTGCTCCGGTTTCCCCTACCACTAAAAATATGTACAATAGGTCTGGCATGTGCCTCCTGTTCGGCGACCCCGCTCCCATCTCTGTGTGGAGTGAGAGGACAAGTGCCCAAAAAAAATAACAATTGTAAACCGCTTTGTGACTCTGGTCTGTGAAAGGCGATATATAAATAAAGATTACTTACTTACTTACCTCATTTCAGGGAATACTCATATCATTTCATAAACAAACAATTTTCCAAAGTGATCCACAGAAAATCAAATCATGGTAATACATATGATCCAAGTCTGCCAATTATAAGGGAAATCAAATTAAATATACTATAAAAAGGTAGTGAGTTAAATGAGTAGATAAAATGTTATAATAAAAGAACAAAATGAAAACCAACACAAAAACAATAAAATACTAATGTGTAATAATAAAAAGACCTTGGTCCACTGCCTTTTGTTTTGCGCTTAATTTATGAGAAATTCAACAAATATATAATTTAAAGTGGATAATTAAGGATTGTAAAACGTCAAAGTCAATCTGGGGATTATGTGTCATTGTGCTAAGCATATTTGAACAGATTTACGGACTAAATCTATTGTGCAGACTCATAAATAGGATTATCGGTGTATTGTACGTCCTGTTCAACTGCAATAACTATAAAGACTTTTGCTGCGGCCTCTTTCTCACCTGGTCTGAGAAGTAGCACTCGTCACAGCATCGATCTCTTCATTCTTTAACCTCTTCAGCCGCTGAATCTGCTCTTCGTGATCTTTTTTCATTTCTAGGATGGATTTGCTTCACAAGAATCAAAAGGCATGATTAGATTTTTTATATAACACCTTGATAGATTACTCATCACAATCAACTGCATTTAAGATTAAGATTAAGAGATCCTTTATTCTTCACACAGCTGGGACATTTCAGTGTTGCATCACAAGTTACAGAACAGTAGGAATGAGGAGGACACAGCACAAGATAAGTAGCTATACTATTAAAATAAAAACAAAAACTAACTAACTCTAACAGAAAAAGGACTAAAGCAAAACATGTTTTTATTTTGGAAAAATGTCTCTTGATTTGGGTATATTTGATAGAATTAAGTTTATAGGAGCTGCACAATCTCTTTATAAAACAACTGCTTAATCTAATGAATTATAAACAATAAACACAATCACAAATTATATTTATTGGTAATAATAGGCTTGTTATAGCAACGATCTAAAAAGCAATCCTCTGTTCTAAATACCCTACATAATGTAATAAAGAAATAAAAAATCAGTTGGGAAAAATTAGTGATGAAACAAGTTGAAGCCTACAATCAACGTTTTTACTGTGGACCTGACCTAAAGGAGGAACTTTTTCTAAATGTCTAAAATCATGTGTAACCTCTTTAAACTTGTATGTTTATTCTGAAGAAAATAAGAATTTTTAAACAAGGATACTGAAAATCGCAAAACATTAAAATCTTGGTCAGAAATATTGCTATTGAATATTTTGTCAAAATTATCATCGGTCCTCGTTACCTCTGAAGGTCCCGGAGCCTCTCCACCTCGCGGTCTCGCTCATGCTGGGCCTGAGCTAGTTTGCGCTGGTGCTGTGCTTGCAACTCAGAGCGCTCCTGTTCCATGGATCGTGTCAGCACAGCCAGCCTCTCCATCAAGTCCTCGCACTCCTGCCTCAGCCGCGTCTCCCTCTGTGCGGAAGAATCCTCCAGCAGCTTCACACGCACCCTGCTCAAACACACAGCATGGAGATAAGTCAGTGACAGACTGTGGGCCGCGGAAGGCAATATGATTTAGGGAGAGATGGAATGTGTTTAAATATGTACAGTAATGAAACTTTACTGCATGCATCTTTGGTGAAAACTATGATTGACAAACGGTTTGAATATAATCTGAATTTGAAGATAATCTCATTTGAAAGAATTCTATTATAGGATAGATCAGATAAATGAGAAACAGAATCACATCTGACAGATCAGCTGCCAGTGTACGAGTGGTTTGAAATTGATAATATGGGGTAAGGTTACTGTCAATAAAGACGTGCATGTCTAAAAAAATGCGTGCATATTTATTGGTATTTGTGCATAATTTATTTTTTTGAATTCATGATTAAGATAATACAAACTAAAAAGACATGGAATTTCGTAATTAAGAATAAAAAAATATAAAACTGTATGTGTGATTTCGTACTTGTGAATACGATTCTTTTTTGTGTGCTTGCATTTTCTTTTAGAGAATACGAATTTCAGCAGTGAGCAAACTGTCAATAATACGTCACTGCTCACAGACATTAACAATCGAGCCTGCGCAGAGTTGCTCATGGCAGAGGGCAACAACATTAACAAATTTGGCTCAAAATCAGGTAAATAACTATATTTGATCATTTTGGTCGTAAATAAATGTGTAAGAAATATTAATTCCATAAAATGTGTTCATAAGATGTTTCTTGTCCCTCTCTAGAAACGTTTTTTTTAGGCAGTGTTTAGTTAACACTAGCTTCAAGGCTAGTTTTACAGCTTACCATGTTATTTTAAAACCAACATTTTTACATTCTTAGCAGTTACATTTTATGAAGCCTTTGCCCCAAATCAATGTGGTTAAAGTGTTGATACCAGCCCCAACCCTCCAGATTATTCATAGTTCGCGCTGTTACTGCCCCTGAGTAATACGAAGTTCACCTCTGTGCTATAGTCATCCTTGGTTGTTAGACGTAGCAGACCCTGTCCCTGTGGACCTCAATCTTATATTTGTACATTTGACACATTACTTTTACTCACTAGTTCAGTAAGACTAGTTAGTCTGTTGTTTAGACTAAAATAAATGCATTATTTTCTGTAGAATAAAACAATATAAGGATAAGAAAATAAAACTAGCATTGGAGCTAACAACACTGCCAAAAAACCTTTAGAGGGACAAGAAACATCTTCTTATGAACACATTTATGGAGTTAATATTTCTTACACATTCATTTACAACCAAAATGATAAAATATAGTTATATACTTGATTTTGAGCCACTTTGTTTATGTTGTGTCCTTCTGCCATGTTTAGTTTTTAGGCAATGAAGTTGATCAACTCTGCGCAGGCTCGATTGTTAATGTCTGTGAGCAGTGACGTATTATTGACAGTTTGCTCACTGCTGAAATTCGTATTCTCAAAAAGAAAATGCAAGCACACAAAAAAAAATCGCATTCACAAGTACAAAATCACACATACAGTTTTATATTTTTTTTATTCTTAATTACGAAATTCCATGTCTTTTTAGTTTGTATTATCTTAATCATGAATTAATAAAATATTTGTATGCACAAATACCAATAAATATGCACGCATTTTTTTTAGACATGCACGCCTTTATTGACAGTAATCTTACCCCATATGATAACATCAAGCTTTTGTCACTTGTAGAAATACTTGTAGTAGAGTGCATAAACAAACACGCAAAGTATTGTTTCTTTACCTTTATCAAATACATAAATAGTTGAGAATACTATTACTTCATAAATCTTAGACCAAAGTATTGACCATCCTTTTGTTGTAGAAATACCCAAAGTAATTTTAGAGTGGCAGGAGACGTTTATTATCCATCAGTTTAGGAGGTAGTAGTTGTTGTCATAGTATTCGTAAAGTAGTTTGACCATTGGCCATGTGTCTATAGAGCTAGACCCCTCCTCACTTTGCGTTGCCATAATCTCTCACTAAAATCAGTAGAATTGTGTGTCCATAGAATGTAATGTTTGTGATTTGATAACTTTAAATCTGGGTGCCTATCATTCAAATCACAAAAAAAGAATATGTCCATGTAACTAGTTCCTCGCTTCTGTCATTAGTTCTCTCTGGTGCATGTATTTCTGATTTCTGTCAAATCTTTAGAGCCTTTTCAGACCAAAAAGTGAAAAAGAGCAGGCTTCCCTCCCTCCACCAAACAGCTTTCACCCCAACACATCAAATAGTGACTTGTGGGGCTCGGTCTTACAAGTAAGGACAGCCTTTGGTCTAATGTGTTCACAACATTTCAGGAGGTTCACAAATGAGAATGATGAGAATAATTATACAATAATCGTTCTTACTTGTGTGCATCCTCTATGAGCTCTGTGTCTTGCTTGTGCCTGAGCTGGACGTTCTGCAGTAACAGTTGGCTCTGGTCCCGCTTCATCTGCAGCAGCTTCACCTGTACAACACGGGTCAAGGTGTGAGTGCGGCTGACCCCTGCGTTTCCCACGGCGACGAGGGCCGACCCACCTGCCCCTCCAGCTGAAGGACGCGACCCTGCAGAGACTGATGATCCCCGTATGGCTGAGCTGCGGGTACAAGGCCCAGAGGAAAAGGAGGTGGTAGCATCTGTACACACACATGCAGGGATTATTACAGGACAGAGAGGTTCAACAAATGGCCTCTAATAAACGATGGGGATTAAATTAATATTCATAATGTCTATACTGTATGTAAATGTGTGTCATAATAGTCAGTTGTGCTTGAAGTTTGCACACACAGCCAGAGATTGCATTGTTTTGGTCAGATTTTAGAGAAACCTTATTTTTCCATTTTGAAATTATAACATTATTCGGCCGATTTGGGAATATTTCATATTTGTTGTTCATTAAAAAAGCAACAGGAATTTACCGAAGCTAGAGGCTTTTAGCAGAGAAGAATGGGCAGTTTTATCATCAGAAGATAATGCAAAATCTCATACAGGGTCAGAATATTAGTTTCTGTTGGCTCTAGAATTTGAAAACAAATGGCTTCACAAAACCGCTAACTAATTCGGTCTGGGTGTGTAAACTTTTAAGCACAACTGCATTTTTATATTTATATAAAAAAAAAAGCTAATAAGTTACTATGATTATTTCAAAAAGAAAGGGAGTACCTTTGTGAATGGGACTCTACAGTAAAATACCAGATTAGCAGTATCAATAGGAGCCAAATGCATTTTAATATTATACTGTATATATTTCAAAACATATAAGGCTTAATCCTCTTTTTAAATGTACATGTCTGTGGTGAAATATGACTATAAGAAACCACAGTGATTTCAAAATGCTACCTAAAATGTCAAGCTATTTATTTGAACACATCACATGGGTATTGTGAGACAAAGACAGTTGTTTGCCGCTGTTACCTGCTGTTGTTGCAGTAGCATCTGCAGATGGTCAGGTGAGAGCAAAATCTGTAAGTGAAAAAAAAAATCATCAAATATTAACATTAGTAAACTAAATACACAAATTATGAGCAACTAATGTGTCTGTGCTGCACCTGAGGTTGGACGGGAGCTGGTGGTTTTGGAGTTTCCGTTATTGTTCTGTCACCTATTGTCAAACAACAGACATTTTGGCACATTGTCACGTCATGATTAAAAGCGATACAATAGGCCCACTTTAAAATGTATTTGTCTAAACATGAAGGAGTGCGTTCTTCGTATCCGGAGTACATTGTGACAACGCTAATGAGAAGAGCATATACCATAATGTAGAATGATATTTTCAACGTGATAAATAAAACATACTCTGCCTTGCTGTCTCCTCTCTAATTGGAGTGGAGTGAGCTGCGGGGCCCGATTCGCTGGGAGAAATTCCACTGAAGCACATGAGAGGAAAACAAAACATACATAAGACACTATAAACCCATGCATTTTGTCACTTTAGATAAATCCTAATATGTGCTTTCATCACACCTGAGCTCCCTGACAGCGAGAGCCGAATCTTCTCTGATCCTGGGAGGGTTTGAAGTCACTTGTTTACTGTAAAAGAAATGAAAGAATGGTAGTGCTGTCACATGTAACGTTATGAAATCGATTAAAACGCTAGGGAAAAAGGATCAACTCTGGAAAACAATTTAAAAAAAGGAAAATTATCTTGTATACAATTTCCACATTTTAGAATTGAATTATTTCTTACAGCTATAGAGAGATAGATAGATAGGTAGATAGGTGGATTTTTTTTGTCAATTCAGGTGCCACACTATAGGACATAAACCAGTTTTCTCTTATTTTAAGGGTAATCATGACTTTTGCATCGACCGCTTTATAAATGAACAAAGGAAAAAAACATTCAAGGAAGGAAATTAATATGAACATAAATCACAATCAGAGACTTTTGTTGTCTTGATGGATGGGACATTAAACAACAATTTAGTATAACATGATAAAGATGGTTAGTAGTTAGTGATGCACAATTGTGGAATTTTCAATCAATGCAATAGTTGATTGTCATTGAAAAACTTTTTAAATGTTGACATTAAAATGTTTTATCTTGAAAAATAATATATATATACATTTAAGGCAACAGCTCGATTAAGGCACAACACCCCCACAGAAATAAAATGTGTAAAATACAAATAGCATTAAATTCACGGTTCATACAGATCACAATTCATAAATGTTAAAACTGTCGGACTCAAAATTGATAGAGATATACGAGTGATGAACCACTGTGGCAGTTACTCATAGTTGTAATCTATTCACTTTGATATGCCATTATTTAAAAATAAAAAAAAATCAAACAATGTATCTTGAGTTGCAGTTACCTTATATTTGCATGTGTGTCTGTTTTCGCTGTAACTTCCAGGGTCTCCTTTACTTGTGTCTTGGCCTCATGTCTGGACCCAGCCAGAGCTCTTCTCCGGCTCAGAGCTCCAGATAACCAGTCCTCCTCCTCCTCTTCCTCTTCCTCTTTCTTCTGGCTCACAGGGACCTCAGCCTCAGCCACAGCCACTTTCACCAGGTCATGTTTGGGCGCTGGTAGAGGCTCCGCAGCCGATTTGACAGGGCCAGACACGGACGCCCTTCGTTCTAACGGGGCCCCTACAGGTGGGCTGGAAGACCTAGTTTCTGTCCTACCTAGGCCACCGTAGTCGTGCGTGGAGTCGTCTGTGGTGGTTTTAAGGCCGAGCCAGTCTGCAGACGCACGCTGCCTGGTCGGTGTGGAGGGCTTTGGCTTCTTTTCTGAAGCAGGAATACTTACATCCTCAGTAGAAAACCTTAAACAGATCAAAATTTAATAATATTAAAAACATAAAAGATACTAGAACCTCTCTGTAAAAAACTGTTGTGAACTATAAAATGGAGAGGATATAATTGTGAGGGATTTTAGGATATAGGTTAAAGGAAAGTTGTAATAGTGTGGGATTTTTAAAAACGTGTGACAATAATTAAGCCAGGCCAAATTAAATTGTTATGGTACACTAAAAACTAATTTAGTATTAAAAAAAAGGTCAAAATAGTGTTAAAATAGCATTGAATCTTGTATCTTATGCAAGCTGTACTCATCCCTACACTCTCCTTGAAAATAATAACAAAAATGATCACAAAAAAAGGCATTGAAATAGGTTAAAATTCCCAATCACACCTCACAGACTGCCTGCGAGATTGGCGGCCTTCAGGCGTGGACACGAGGGTGGGCTGGTACGATCCAAAGGTCAGCTCGTCCTCTGATGTTGCATTTTTAAAAAACACATTAGCTTTAGCTGCCTTTAACATTATCAGCCACCCTCCAGTATTACATGCGTTACCTTTGACAGTAGAGCCTCTGTCCTGTTGCTGTTCCTTCCTTTCACCTGTAGGGGGACGCTCCAGAAGATGAGGCGAGGTCAAGCTCTGCAAAATGTCATCCACTTTGGTGCGCGGTCTCTGGAGCTGATCAAACCTGCGCAAGAAATGTAAAAGGGGAAAAAACTCAATTTTGCCAGACAAGTAGGGGGGGAGTTGGCAGCACAATTTATTCAAAACGTCTACATGCAAATCTGTTCTGCCATACTACACCAGTATATTTTTCATTTTTCATACCATCTATTTCAGATTGCATGGTATTGTGCAAGCTACTGTGAAATACATAGTTCTAAAGATTTTCAATGACAGGGGTTCTCAAATTTTTCATTAAGGGACCCCCAAGATATGTGTATAACAATTCACACATATTTTTAATTTGCTTGTGTCAAATGATTGGTGAAATACTCTAAAACTCATAAAGCTAGGATACCTAACTCCCCCATTTAAGACTGTGATAAATTCCATCAAGCATTTGTTTGTATTGACATTATAAGAAATACAGGCTTGATAAACTTCACTCTGCGTATATTAGTGAAGTTCATATTAGTTTCAGATTTAAGTTTGAAATACAGAAGTAAATGATTTTTTTTAACAACATTCTAATTTTCCGAGTTTCACCTATAGTTCTTTTCTTTCAAAAGAGGTTCCATCACTACTTTGCACAGGCATATATTTTTGGCCTCTGTCACACTTTTTGACCAGCTTTTTCAGAGGGAAAAGTGAAAAGGAGAGGACACACTCACTCAAATAGTAACTCACAGGGCTCTTTCTTACAAGGATGTAAACGATAAACATGTATTCTAATGAGATGAAGACAGCATGTGATTTGGTTGCGGCATTTTGCGTTTATAAGACACCTACTGTTGGGACAAACAAAACGTATCATTTATGGAAGGGGAAAAGTAATCCCAGCTTTAAAGAATTACATCTTGAAATAATCTCCAGTTTAGTTTTGTGTTTTGAAAACCACTGATCTGAAGCAAAGTTTTACAAAAGACTTCATACATTGTTTTCTTCCCGTTTACTACTTAGATACCAGATATTTCTCATTGGCTTCAATCCTATTTGTAAACATAAAACTATACCAACAACTTTATTACAATTATGGATGTAGTGGTAAGAGAATAAACATGTGGCTACCGTTCCTTGTTTTCGTCCGATAGCCCAGCCTCTTTTTTCTTCGCTCGATTGTGATCACCATCAAATCCCAAAACGTCCATAAAATCATCCTTGCTGTCATCGAACGTGAGGTCAGAGCGCTTCTTTGTCGTGGATTGAGTCTTATCTGAAACAAATAAAGACTTATAAACATATTATAGTTGATTACAAAAGGAAATGCTGTACTTTACTTTTGAGGATTGGCGAGATGGGAGACGTTGGCAAAGACTTTTCCACAGCCTTGGCTTTGGGCTTTGTATCGTCTGGGAGAAAGTCATCATCCTCTGTAATATTAAATGGTTTACATGTGAAGGCAAGGCTTTTGTATAGCACGGTTCATACACCAGGCTACTCAAAGTGCAAAACACAACAAAATGAGGCAGAACAAGGCATTAAAATAAAGAATCCTGTATTAAAAAGAGTGAAGATAGATCCTTCAGTTGTGAGCACAAAACAGATCTCTTCTTTAGTAGAACTATACCTTTCCATGTCGAGTCCTGACTCTGGGCAAGTGAGTCCAAGTTGATTCATTTGACAGTACAATGTCATACAGATGTACTTAGGAACGAGGCCATGGAGAGACTTGTACACAACTAGAGCTGCAGTCTATTCTCTGAGCCAAAATAAAGCCTATAGATGACTCTTTTAACTGGACACAACATAATTCAACGACAACGTGTTTTAAGTGTTGACTCCTGATGATCAAAACACTCTGGGATTCCAATCTATTTTGACAACAAACTTGCGTCTCATCCCTGCTACCTCCATTAACAGTACCATTCCTATCGCACCTTCTGTATACATTTATCCTGGTAAATCATCATCAACATTATCGGAATTGAAAATTCTAAAATAGAAGAAAACACACAGTAGACACTATAGTAGTATACATTTGCAAATGGGAGCTTACCGGAAAAGCTAAAGTTTTTGTAGTTCCTTCCTAAAGATGGCGCAGAGTTTGGCTTTTTCTGATTTGCAGAAGAGTTACCTGTGTGCAGATAAAAATATAGTAAAACAAGTTTACGCATATATACATTTGTGCTGGAAAGATCACACACCAGGAAGATTGCTAAATACACTAAATACACTAACAATAAATAAACTTTTACTCTGTTTTCAAACCATAACATAATTGAGTTGATCTGTGGAGTGTGCAAATGTGCAGTTCAGTCCAGAAATGTACACACACTCGGCTTTTTGCCGAGAAGAATGGCCAGTTTTACCGTCAAAGAGGATAAAGAAAGGATAAAGAAGAGGGTCAGAACAGTAGTTTCTATTGTTATTATAGTTTGAAAATATAAAACACATTTATTTGACAATAAATGGCTTCACACAACCATTAACAATGTGTGAAATAACTTGTGGTAACTTTAGTAAACTGTATTTCTTACTGGTGCACAGACACTTTGATATTTCAATAAATATGAAACACATTCGAATACCTGGTCCCTCTTGTTTGCCATTCAGAGTGGCGCTCTTGTTCGGCCCGTCTTTAACAGTTGACTTTGCTGGCGCAGAATTTGGCTTTTTCTTTAGCGCAAGCAGTTCATCCTCCATATCATCAATGCCCTGTACAGAGAAAACATCAAAATTATATTATCATTTTCTATTATACTGTTTTGTTGATAATAGGTACCTTTATGTTCTTCAAGATTTCATCAGGATCTGCTTCTGACACCTCTGAGTTCTGTGATGTAAAACACGGGATAGTTTGTTATGTTTATTAGCAAAGGAAAATTCAGATGTGATTGTTTTAAAAATCATGAATACATATTTCTATTTTACGCATCAAGCATTTAAGGTATGTTCCATTTGTGAGCCTCAAAAACCTATAGCCAAGAATCAAATCTACAAAGCTACAAAATGAGAGTAGTGTCTGATTTATGTAATTTAATTAAAAGTTTATGTAGTTTATGTATTTCTTCACACTTCCCACATACCTCGCTGTCTGCTCCGTCCTGTTTTACCTCCTCTGCAAGCATACTAAATATGTTATCAACCGCAGATGAGCTGGGAAACAGAACATACAAATTGCTCGTTTAATAGTTACTTTCTGATTCCAGCCATAATATTTTACATTCTTTCAAATACCACTCACCGATTCGTGGGTAAAATGTGATTTGACATTTTGGATGCCGGTTCTAATAAATTCACATACAAGAAAATGTGTCAGTTTGTTGAGCAAACAGAAATGAATAAATTCACCTACTTTTATCTTCCAGTAAACTGTCAAGCAAATCGTCATTGTCTAATAAACCTGAAACAAAACAGAACAACGTATTATTTTGTATTATTACAACGGTACAAGAAGTACTTAGGTTCACATGCACTGTCTGTCATCAGAATGTCTCCATGCACTTAGCTGAGCATTCCACGGCTTTTGTGTTTGTATTATTGTATCTCTTGTGTTTGAACGGTTTGATTCTATGATCAACACATTTGTAAAGTCCTCAGAGACGACTGCTTTTGTATTTAGGGCTATAGAAAATTGAATTGAAATTACATTTTATTGAATTTTATCACAGGCGAAAGTTCAAAACTCATCACTGTAACATTCTGAAAATGTAGGTTTGCCTGTTAGAAGAGAGCGTAGAAGAGACATAACTGATCATTTATTACAGTTGAATTATAATTGTGCAAACACATGCATGTTGTTGTGTTTGTCTTTCATTACATAGTCTTTATTAAAGAATACATTTCTTAAACTTATGTTGTGTTCTGTCTGTTTGTATGTTGTTTGTTTAAAAAAAAAAATGCCATATAGTGGACTATACTGTAATATATTAAATCCAAAACACAGCGGAACTTTTTTTGTATGAATAACAGTCATATAAAAGTAAAGCTAGGGTAACTAGTTCCTCGCTCTAAAAACACTTTCCTTCTACCACTAACTCTCACATGTATGAATTTTGTGCAGCTTTCAGCTTTTTAAGGAGGAAAATGAAAAAGAGAGGAACACCCTGACTCAGCTCAAAGCCTCAAGGAGTGATGCCATTGAATAGCTCTTACGAATATCCAAAAGATCATGTTTTCTAAAAGACAGAATGTTGTGGTCTGATTTGTTCACTTCATTTGAAAAGACTCTTTTTTTTCGGGACATGTATTCATTTAATTAATTGCATGGTAAATATGAAGCAGACAACTCTCCATCCATACGGTTCCATACCTTCTTTTAAACAAATTGTGAAACATATATTTTACTATATGCCTCTTTAGTTTAACGTTGATTGAAAACAAACTTACTTGACAACTTTCCTTTGCCTTTGGTTGCCTACAATAAAGAATACATGTGACCACTTAATATACGTGGAAATGATTAAATAAATACAATCCAGTAATCAATAGTAAAAAAAAAATCTTACCATTTTAATAATAAAGTCTCCAAATGCTTGAGTCGCTAGATGCTAACTCGGGCTAGCGCTAACGCTAGCTAAATCTGATTAGGCGTCTCCGGTTTCCATGGGTAACGACGATGACCGTGGGCTGTTTATGGCACACAGCAGTCGAGAAAAGAAAATGCGATTTAAACCCATTTTAACTTGTTCATCCCAAAGCATACAACTCGAGCTTTCATCCAGAGCTTTTAAACATTTAAAACCAACAAACCCGTAACCCGTAACGTCACGATTCGAAAAATGTGGTGAAGTCAATTATTTTGCATGAATCGGAACATCTCAAGAATCAATATGTGATCAGATCCATTGCCCTTGTGTCTTTTCTCAGCTCCTTGTAGTATATGTATAACCACACGCAAAATTACATCTATCCTCCGACTGTGCATCGACGCTTCCTGTTTATCTGTGGCACTGCATTGTGGGAAGTGCAGTTTTCTATACATTTATTCCCGATTTTATTATAGATCAGGGGTCTGTGACTTAGGAGCTCTTAACAAATGATCTTTAATGAATACATTTGGATTAATTTCATATAGTAAAACATGTAGGCTTATACAGTAACAACAGTATATTTTACATGTGTTCTCCATGTGTGTCCTCTCTTGTCGTTACTATTACATAGATTTTTTAGTATGTCTGCAAAAAGGAGTAGCTCTCTGCCTCTTCTGTTGTATAAGAGTATCTCTCCGATTGGAAAAGGTTGAAGACCCCTGTTATAGATCCATGATTTCTTTCCTTGATATTGTGTTGTAGATATTTTTTCAATCTAGAAGTTTTACTAGATGATGTTACTTCTGCCTTAAGCTATTGAATAAGATACCAGTAGATGGCAGCTGACCGCATTTGCATTATTTAGCAATCATAGAGGAATACTATGTTTAATTCATAGTTATGCAGTAGGGATGTGCAGGATCATGCATAAGATGTTTCATACTAAGATGTTTTCTGTATAGAGATATGAATGTGCTGTAGTCTTGCTGTATTATTGGATTTGGTTTCATCTAGTGTCACAATACTAAACTTGACCTCAAAACTAATAAAAAATGATCAATATTATTATTATTATTTTTTAATCTATGAACCAGTTCTATCTGTGTTCTTAATAAAGAATGAATTGAATTGAATTGAATACCACATTGAGGATTTTTAAATGTTTTTTGAACATTTGGACATTTTTTATATAAACGTTAAGGCTATATATGAAAGAAAAAAAAAACACTATAGATCTGGTTTTATACTAGATTCAAATAATAAAAAAAATGACTCACATTTTCTAGACGAATTGTGTTATATTAAGTATCAGTACTTTCTCAAATGAGCAAATAGTTTCAATGCTCGTTTTCCTATTGATTCATTTCTCATTTTCAATCATTTTGACAACCCGAGTCTTGCCTTGAGGTAAAAATATCACTAATTTAATTTTCAACAATTTCCGCATAGAAAGTCATGGTTTCATTTAGTCATGGTTTGTTCTGGAATGTTCAGGGAAGTATACATACTGTACCTTGCAAAAGTATTCGCCCCCTTGAACCTTTCATCCTTTCGCCACATTTCAGGCTTCAAACATAAAGATATAACATTTACATTTTTTGTCATGAATCAACAACAAGTGGGACACAATCGTGAAGTGGAACAAAATGTATTGGATAATTTAAACTTTTTTAACAAATAAAAAACTGAAAAGTGGGGCGTGCAATATTTTTCGGCCCCTTTACTTTCAGTGCAGCAGTCTCACTCCAGAAGTTCAGTGAGGATCTTTGAATGATCCAATGTTGTCCTAAATGACTGATGATGATAAATAGAATGTACCTGTGTGTAATCAAGTCTCCGTATAAATGCACATGCTCTTTGATTGTCTCAGGGTTCTGTTTAAAGCGCAGAGAGAACCATGAAGACAAAGGAACACTCCAGGCAGGTCCGAGATACTGTTGTGGAGAAGTTTAAAGCCGGATTTGGATACAAAAAGATTTCCCAAGCTTTAAACATCTCAAGGAGCACTGTGCAAGCAATTATATTGAAATGGAAGGAGTATCAGACCACTGCAAATCTACCAAGACCCGGCCGTCCCTCTAAACTTTCATCTCAAACAAGGAGAAGACTGATCAGAGATGCAGACAAGAGGCCCATGATCACTCTGGATGAACTGCAGATAACTACAGCTGAGGTGGGAGAGTCTGTCCATAGGACAACAATCAGTCGTGCACTGCACAAATCTGGCCTTTATGGAAGAGTGGCAAGAAGAAAGCCATTTCTCAAAGATATCCATAAAAAGTCTCGTTTAAAGTTTGCCACAAGCAGTGTTGGGCACGTTACTTTGAAAAAGTAATTAGTTATAGTTACTAGTTACTTCTCCCAAAAAGTAACTGAGTTACTAACGGAGTTACTCCACTATAAAAGTAACTAGTTACCAGTAAAAGTAACTATTGCGTTACTTTTTCGTTTTGTTCTGGAACATAATGTGCACCCGACGTGCGCATTTTTACCTTTAACAGTGCCAATATTTCCATCTAGAAAAGTCTGTTTTGCTGCTGAAGTCCTGTTCACTCTTCATCTCTGTCTGTGCTGTAAAGCCCGCCACTGTGAATGTGGAAACACCGGTGACGAGCGGTGAGGCTGGTGAAGCACTGACTTCAGTCCAATCAGATGAACATATACATCATATAAATCAAGTGGACAATTTGTTTGGCTACAGCAAAATATGTTTTATGCCCGCATTGTTTGTTCATACAAAACGCAAAACTATGAGTTATGAGTCTTACCTTATAGCTATACCTTATAAATGACCTGCACAGTCCACTTCGGTTCAGACCAGTTCCTTGTTTAAATCCAGTGAATGGTTTGAGCGTAGATATGTAATCCTCCATTTGGAAATGAGTCCAATGAGTTTTAAAAAGTAAAACAAAACGCGTGTGTCCTCCGTAAACTCCTCTGTTTTGCTGCAGCCGGCTGCATCCAATTTCTAAAATCAACCGTCTTACACTTCACCTCTCTTTCTTATCATTCCTATAGTAATTGAAAAATTACCCTATGTGCATTTTAGATTATGTAAAAATGTGTTATATGTATGTTAGCCAAACCTGTTGCTGTCCTTAGCAGATAAACCAGGAAGAGCAAGGAGCTTATCGATGGAATTGTATGCAGCCGACTTCTGCGCTCACATGCGCTCCTCTGTGGCTGACCTCACGGTGATACAAGCCGTGGTTGAGCGCGATTAAGACCCATATTTGTTTCAAAAACACAATTTATGAGCCATCCTCTCAACTGTAGACATGTAGATTGTAAAGGAAATATGATTTACATCAGCCAATAATTGCTGAGAGGTTTTCTCATCCTCCCTTCTCTCATGACAACACGTTCATTGTGCGTCTTGAGTAACGCGCAGTAACGGGATGTCGGAAATGATAACGGCGTTATAGTTACTGTCAAAGTAATTAGTTAGATTACTCGTTACTGAAAAAAGTAACGGCGTTAGTAACGCCGTTACTAGTAACGCCGTTATTCCCATCACTGGCCACAAGCCACCTGGGAGACACACCAAACATGTGGAAGAAGGTGCTCTGGTCAGACGAAACCAAAATCGAACTTTTCGGCCACAATGCAAAACGATATGTTTGGCGTAAAAGCAACACAGCTCATCACCCTGAACACACCATCCCCACTGTCAAACATGGTGGTGGCAGCATCATGGTTTGGGCCTGCTTTTCTTCAGCAAGGACAGGGAAGATGGCTAAAATTGATGGGAAGATGGATGGAGCCAAATACAGGACCATTCTGGAAGAAAACCTGAGTCTTTTGGAGTCTGCAAAAGACCTGAGACTGGGACGGAGATTTATCTTCCAACAGGACAATGATACAAAACATAAAGCCAAATCTACAATGGAATGGTTCACAAATAGACGTATCCAGGTGTTAGAATGGCCAAGTCAAAGTCCAGACCTGAATCCAATCGAGAATCTGTGGAAAGAGCTGAAGACTGCTGTTCACAAACGCTCTCCATCCAACCTCACTGAGCTCGAGCTGTTTTGCAAGGAAGAATGGGAAAGAATTCCAGTCTCTCGATGTGCAAAACTGATAGAGACATACCCCAAGCGACTTGCAGCTGTAATTGCAGCAAAAGGTGGCGCTACAAAGTATTAGCGCAAGGGGGCCGAATAATATTGCACGCCCCACTTTTCAGTTTTTTATTTGTTAAAAAAGTTTAAATTATCCAATAAATTTCGTTCCACTTCACGATTGTGTCCCACTTGTTGTTGATTCTTGACAAAAAAATAATTTCTTATATCTTTATGTTTGAAGCCTGAAATGTGGCGAAATGTTGAAAGGTTCAAGGGGGCCGAATACTTTTGCAAGGTACTGTAATTCACTGCATTTATGGTGTAGAAGTCTGTAAGTCAGGCCCAGGCCAAAAAAGGAATAACCCCGGCGTAAAATACACAGAAAACTATATATCAAAAAGGTCAATAGACTTTCGCCTACCATGTGAGACAGACTCATATAGGAAGTATTTATGGCGCCAGACTTAACTGCCGTTATCAACTATGCTTTTAAATCAAGTTGAAGCAAGATTTCTGTTTTTGTTTCAGGTACCTTTAACCCCTTGACCCGTTACTGAAAGACATTCCATTGGCAAATAATTCTCAATAGGAGCAGTTATAACTTGCTCTGTTTGTTTATTATAAATCTATCTCTTATTCTCACGTAATATGTCACAATACACATTGGTGGGTTGTGACACATCGCAAAATGAATTCTACCTGAACTTTTGCCCGTGAATTCATCCTCTCGAGGACATAATGTTTTGTAACCACAACAAACCATTCAGTTCAGTTCAGTCATGTACAAAATCTCAGATTATTGAAAGTTTATGGCCACACTCTGTTCAATTCACAAATTTACGGCAGCTAAAAAGGATAGGTTCAGGTTTCATCTTTTTAATTTATTAAAAGCATTGGGAAATTGGGAACAGATGCATTCTTTGATTAACAAGACGCATAACCTCAAAATAAATCAGGCCACTTTTACTTGTAAAAGCATCACTCGTATTCATGCCACTAATTAAAGCGGGAAAAAACATGCAATTCAGGCACTGCAAGAAGTTTTTAACTTAAAGAAGAAAAATAATGCATTATTTTGGGCAATAAAAATAATTTGACTTTTCATTCATTAATTTTCATCCCTTTATTATCCATTACTGGGTCAGGGGGATGGCATTCAGAGCTGCCACCCAAATCACAATGCACCTCGCTGATCCTCCTACGGGTGGTGGGTCCACAGGAAGATGGCTGACCTTTCAACACAGATATGGCCTTGATCTTTCAGCGGGGACTTCAGGCAAAGTGGGGTAAAGTGTCTTGCCCAGGGACACAACAACCGCAGACGACAGTGGGAACAGATGACATGGGTCGTGGTGGCTGCTTTCCATCAGTAAATCGTTATTTTAGACATTGGCTCAGTTGGTAGAGTCTTTGAGTCTGAAGGTCGTGGGCTTGAGCCCACCACGAGACATTCTTCAGAATGTCTGCTGTCGCTGTGTCCTTGGGTAAGATGCCTAACCCCACTTTGCCTGAAGCCCACGCTGGGCAGCTCAGACTAGAGCAGCCATCCTCCTGTGGACTCACCACCTGCAGGAGGATCAGTGAGGGGCAGGTGCAGCTCTGACTGCCACCCCCCGGACCAGAGAAATGGATTAAGAAGAAGAAAATGGATGGATGGATGGAACTCTGGTAGTTTTGGTAGTTGCAAAACTACCAAAACTAATTTCGGGATGCTCTGAGCATGATGTCATAATGGTACAATGACTTCAAACTATTGCAGGACTGCGGCAGGATTTATGACAGAAGGGGCGGAGTTATATGTTTGTGCCAGATTAGAATGGATGGATCTAAAAACAAACCCAAGGTTTGTTTTTGTTGCGGGAACAATGTTGTAACATGGTTAAAAGCTCCCAAAAGTTTGCATAATAAATCTTCTTTAACAACCCTTGATATAGACACTAGATATACTTAGAGGTAGGCAATCTTGACAAACTACACTCTTTTTTTGTTCATCTTAGAAATATCTCTTTGCAGCCTTTTTTAAGCACAATTGCAGATATAAAAAACCCTCAAAATATTCTATTTCAGCAATTCTCCCTCTCCTATTTCATGACACAGATTTGAGAAGACAGGCAAAAAGGCAAAGCACAAGAAAGAGCCGTAATAAAAAAGAACTGCTTCTTGTTGACGTTTGTGGCCCACTTTTTTCCCTCTCCAAACTCCAGGTGGGATTGTTGACGCTATGTTGTGCAGATGAAACACGAATGAATCGATGGAAGAACAAAAAGGAAACACAGGAATTGCATCTGCAACTACCCCGGGAAAAAAATGTTGATTGTAGAGAAGCGTCTGCAAAACAAAACATAGAAGCATAAATTAAACAATTTGTTTCTGGAGCAGACGTTGAAAAAAGGCTCGAATTGGCATGTCACTGTGAGAGGCAATAAAGAGTTGAATTTGCAAAGTCACGCAGCATAAAGTCACCATGATGAAGATTGTATTGCGACAATTGGCACACCCAGACAAGCACTATGACCCATTATGCATGCGAAGCTTTGACTTGTCGGTGCAAGCAGAAAACACTTTACTTTTCTCCATTAGAATGCACTTTGGTGTGGAATATTATTGGGATGGGCAGTTTTGACAAGTTTTGAATTACTACCAAAATGAAGTTTTGGCCTGTGAGGAAGAATGCATACATGTAAGGCATATTTTGTTCAATTCAATGAAGATGATTTTTGTACAGCCCTAAATCACAACAGCAGTCTTCGAGGACTTTACAAAGTTGTCCATTCCTCAACAACAAAGCAGAGAACAAAACCGTCCAAACACAGGGAATACAATAATAACAAGGGATGACTAATGTCCATAAATGTTAATAAATGTCAATAAACAGAAGCGGAATAAATGCTTCTTTTTTAATCACATACAGTACTTCTGATATGATTTCCATGAAGACAAACAGACGGCAAACCATGTACCAGCAACATATTGTTCCTTTAATGCATTTATTTACATTTTAGGTTGAGATATTGTTAATATTGTGAAAATATTTGGACTATTCTGTCGATATCTATAGCAACTGTTGGACTATGTGGCCATACCAAAGCAAGTGGAAGGATGCTTTGCCCCTGAATGATTTAGTATTGGGAGTATAAGCTGAAATGTGGGGCAGGCATTTCAGCTTCTCATGCATATGTGCAGCCGTGACATGCACTCCACCACTGCATGTTACCTTTGTGAACTCCCCGCACCATAAGACACAGCAGATGTTGTGACATGCAGAACGGACATGTTTGTATTTATTACAGATGGAAATGATGAGATTGTGGTGTTGGAGGTGTTGACTCTAGTGTTGACTCTAGTGTTGGCTGACCTACCTGGGGATGTTCCTGGCTTTCAAGTCTTTCTATCCGTGTCTCCGTTTGACCTAGTATAAGGCACGTCTTTGTCTGCAGCCTCGTTGTGCCTGTGAAGGATGACAAACAGAAGACATAAGCCTCACTACACTAAAGGGTGTGTGGAGGGGGCAGCGAGTGTCAGAGCAAAGAGATCATCCCGGCCCAGCAGCAGCACATGGCGATGTTTGCATGTGCGGAGCGAGGCCACACAGGGCCAGCGGCTCTGCACACTGCACTTTAGGTCAATTAGTCACTATAGAGTTGAGAGCTGTGGTGCTCGCACTCCATCAGTGCTTCTATTCAAAAAGTGAAAAACTCGCTTGTTATGTATCGAGCCACTTAAAGCACACATTGTTGCTCAAGGCAAACTCCCAACAATTGCAGTGATTTGAAATCAATGATGCAGACTGGTTTGACCCAGTCCATGGACACAGTGCTGACATGAGTGGACCTGGCCTCTTATATATGGACCACGATTTACAGTTATTATGTGCCATTTTGAGGCATGCTTATTTATAAAACCAGAAGCCTAACTATATTATTTTGCATGATTCTGCACTACAGCCATCCTTGTGGTTAATACACAGTAAAAATGAGGTGTTAATATTTCCAAGTTGTTTTAACCCAGATTGAGTATTTTCAACATTATAGAGTGTGAAGTTGCTCTATAGTGACCGTAAAAATCTGCTGACAGATTGGACAGCTTTGCGTTCTATTTTACATCAAATTGAGTAGAATCAACTCTTGACACTGACCAAAGAGAACATTTTACACTGATATTGAGTGGGGACTATGTTGTTGAATGTTTTAACTGTGTGTATAGGCAAGAATATCTACTGTTTAAGGTTTAATTTATCAAGAACAATGTTCAGTTGTTACTTTATTGAACAGCATTTTAATATTTATTTTGGTAAATTGCACTTTTATTGAACTATTTTAGTTGGTAACCTGCACTTTTTATTTGTACTGTATGTTTTTATGCAAGTTATATGATTGTGTTGTCAAGGACTACAGATGGAAAGTAGCATGGTGCTAAATCTAGTGCATCTTTTTAATGCAACTAAACATTGTTCTTAATAAATTAAACCTTAAACAGTAGATATTTTTGCCTATACACACAGTTAAAACATTCAACAACACAGTCCCCACTCAATGTCAGTGTAAAATGTACTCTTTGGTCAGTGTCAAATGTTCAGAGTTGATTCTACTCAATTTGATGTAAAATAGAACGCAAAGCAGTCAGGTAACCGTCCAATCTGTCAGCAGATTTTTACGGTCACTGTTAACTCCACTGATAGAGCAACTTCACACTCCATAATGTTGAAAATTCTCAATCTGGGTTAAAACAACTTGGAAATATTAACACCTAATTTTTACTGTGTATTAACCACAAGGATGGCTGTAGTGCAGAATCATGCAAAATAATATAGTTAGGCTTCTGGTTTTATAAATCATTTGTGATTGAGGTATGACTGTTAAATTATTGTTTATAAAATGAGCTATAAAGTTAAATCATATTGGAGAATACATATTAATATAAACTGAAAGTGCATTATAAGATTGCACGGGCATCTTCATGTATACAGGCTACTCACGGTTTGACTTTGTTGCGGAAGAAGAGCTGTCTGAGGATCAAGGCGATGCTGGTGAGGACCATCATCGTGGTGCACATGGTGCTGAGGGAGGGAGGGTGGCCTATTTCCTGGATACCTGCTCTGCCATCCAAAAACGTGAATGAATGTGAGATGCTAGGCTGAAACTACTCCTTCTTTCCACTCACAACTGGGGAGATTAGCTGGGAAGGATTAGCTTGGATCAAGGACGGGGTTAGTGCTCACTGACAGGACTGGGACATAAACAGAGCTATGGGCCGCAACACACAAAGGAATTCTGATCAAACAGGTTGTATTAACAACGTGGTAAAAAAAAAAAACATATAGGCAATTCAAAGGTGACCAGAACTTCAAACTTCACATCAGAACATCAAAACACACATTACAACTTTTGTTTTGTCTTGATTAGCAATTTCTGATTCATCCATTACTATTGATTGTGTTTAATTATTAATGTACTTCTATGCAACAGCACTTTCTCATACACTTTCCTATGTTGTGCTCCAACAGAAAATATGGCTCAGCGGATCATTGTTGAAGTTATTACTAGACTGTTTCTAAAAATACCAGGGCCCAGTAATGACTCCCCTCTAGGCTCGCTGCACCCATCCTGCCATATATTAGGAGAAGAAAAGCCATAGTGGTATAAATGCAGGTAAAAATAGATAGGCCTCCGAGCTACATATAATTAGCACTGCTGACTCAAGCAGAGAATAAGGGATCAGTAGGGCAAGATATAGAGAGAGGAACTGCCTGTTAGAGCATCAGAGAGGGGAACACAACTACTGTATGCCACAATCTTCACTGGTAAGGCAAAAGTTATATTAGTCTAAAAGTAAATAATTTATACTCAATCCCAGTCCCATAAAATTTGAGGATGGAACTGGCAGAATAACTAATGTCTCAATTTGGTTAAGATCGCTGCGTTTAAAAGTTGTATCTCCTGTTTTAACTCTTGTGCTATCCTCGGATCAAAATAACCCACAACAGTGATTTAAATTAGAATGAAAAATTCACCAAATTAGGGTCTAAATGACCCAGGACTGATCATATAAGGAAAAATCATCAAAATTCAGCCAGATTTAGTTTTATTTTAGGGTATTTTTTAATCACTATAGGGGGTCAATTTGACCCGAGGATAGCACAAGGGTAAAGAATGGATTAGCCCAAATATACTGAAGTGATGAAGACCTCTCCACCAGTTATAATAATAATGATGTGGTTATCTGAAGAAAATCTAGCTGTAAAACATGCCACAGCGGCCCATTACCATCAATACTGCAAGTTAGTCATAATAGAAAATGGGCCTGAGGGTGACATGCCTGCTTGATTGCCACAAAATACAACTACAGAGGACTAGCTGTAATCAAAAATGTGTCATTATGCGACCAGATCCATTCTTGGTGATGTAATTGTGGCATAGTGGCTGAGTGGATAGCGCTGATGCCACACAACAAGAAGGTTGTTGATTAAATTCCCATGCCCTTTCTGTGTGGAGTTTCTATGTTTCTATCCAGGTTTGAGTGAGGTTTCTCCAGGTACTCCAGTTTCCCCTACCAAAAACACGCATCAGAGGAATATCCTCCTAAACTAGCAGAACACCATCAAGCAGGAAATGGCCCCAGGTCCTTCATTTAGTGAACATTGCTCCTGACAAGTCCTGGTTGGGTAAAATGCAAAGACACAAATGTACAGGGATACCTAACCTACCCAAACCTTAACATCCATCCATCCATTTTCTTCCCCTTAATCCATTTCTGGGTCGGGGGGGGTGGCCAGAGATACCACCCAGTTCACAAAGCACCAGCCCCTCACTGATCCTCCTGCAGGTGGTGAGTCCACAGGAGCTGAGATCTTTCAATGGGGGCTTCAGGCAAAGTGGGGTTAAGTGTCTTGCCCAAGGACACGATGACAGCAGTCATCAGTAGGAGTAACCTTAACAATAACCAGTACTTGAAAGGAATGTCACTTGTAAAAATTTGGCAACAAGGTGGCTGAGTGGTTAGCACTCTTGCTTGCAGTAGGACAGTCCTGGGTTTGATTCAACCTTCGGACAGGGCCTTTGAGAGGGGTTTGCACGTTCTCCCTGTGTCTAGGTAGGTTTCCTTCAGGTGCTCCAGGTTCCCCTACCACTAAAACAATCCTGGTTAATTAAAGGTCAATAAATAAATCATAATAATCATTTCTGATGGAAGGTCCACCACAGTGGTCATCTCCATGTGGATCATATTTATTTGTCCGGCTTGCAAACAGTTTATGTTTGTATTATTAGAGTAACATGTAAATATTTTTGCGTGATCCTGGTCCATGAAATGGGCAACACAACTAAATACTCCTTACATATTTCTATTATACTTCCATACTTAGAAACACATGCATCCTTGCCTCGCCATAAATCTTGCTCCATGGAACAAGAAGAGAAGAGAAAGTAGCAAACCCTCCACCAGAAAAATAATGCAGCTTTAAAATGGTTTTTCCATTACATGAAAACAAGCCACATGTGATTTTATATCCATATAATGTGTTTAATACATATACAAAGGATAATGTAAAAATGTACAATCGTCACTATAATCTGTTATAAATGTAAAAACATCTCTCTAGGACATGTGTGGGTGACACTTCTAGAAGGAAAACGTCACAATAAGGATTTAAGAATGGTATTTACAAGGCAGTTTCTAGATATACACATTCAATAGAAGGCACGTCCAAGTCCAATGTGACCTCGAGTCCACGGCTGCACTTTCCCATTACTTTGTCCCTTCTTTGAAATCCATTGGTCCCAAACTATGGTAAAGACAGTGGCAGTTTTAACAGTATACGTGCATCTGCTGCTAGGCTATGGTACCTACTCATAATTATTGATACAGTATAATATCATATATGCATAATAATCCAGCTTGATCTAATGTTACACGAAACTAGAATTTATACATTTTCCTCAGATACATTGCTTCCTTGAAAAGACCAAGAGTTGAGTTGATCCCTTCAGTGAGAGGCCATTCAAACGAGTTACGTAATCCTGCTTGGTACGGGCCGTGCTTTCACCCGCTGGACGTGGAGAGTTTGGTCCAGCCCACTTCCTCGTAGACTGCTGAGATGCCGCAGTAGACTGTGGCGAGCAGTTTGGTCCAGGCCGCGCCCACCTCCGGAGTGACCACCTGTGGGAAGGCCTCCCCGAGCACCTCCAGGATCACGCCACTCAGGATCTGCAGACACACAGGCTTTGAGCTCTCCGCCGCTCTGATCGTGGAGATTTCTTGTGTGAATGAATTACTCCGTACAATCACTATAATGCAGCAATTTACCATGATTACCCAAAAAAGTGCCTTACAATTTCTTTTAAAAAGTTAAAAGGCAATATATTGAATTAAATAATCATAAAAGCGCAAACAAATATTTAGGATCAGTATGTGAATGGTCCTTTTGTGCTTTGCAAAAACATACAAATCTAAATGATATACTCTGCGTTTTCCATGTCCAAATCTAATATAGGAACCAAAACATAGAATACTGTGACAATGCAACATTCCTCGACTGATAAGGAGCCGATTTACCTCCCCCTCTTGAAGTGATGCAAAATGAAAATATGAAACTAATTCAAATCAAATTCTTTGATGTATTAATAAGATAGTGGTATCATATTGGTTAAATTATATATGTTTGGCCAATTTTACAAAATGCATAGTTTTAACTTGATTTTATCCACTAAAAAGGTGTATTTTCAAAACATTTTCAAAAACAACACTCTTGGAAAATAGATCATCATCAATTTTGAATAGAATAGATGGATCACTTACTTATAAATTGTGCATGGCCTCTGCCATTATCGTTCAGACTGTCCATCCAGACTTTTTAATGTATCTGTGTGGATATGATTTGATTCATGGTTTCACTTGTTACTGCATGTATTGGAAATGAGCTATACAAATTAATGTTCGTCTTGGCTCTGCAGTGTGAGCATAAGGAGAGTTTCAAGGACTGGATTTATTTGTTCACGGCTCTCAGTTCACGTTAAGCACATATTAGATCAAAAGTACTTTTCAAAAAGTACATTCTAGTACATACAAAGTTATGCAGATCCAGAAGACACATTAAATGCATAAAACACAATACATACTGTGCAAGCAGCACAAACAAAACAATGCAACTCAGTGATTACTCGCCAACTCGTTCCAAGCAGCTCCCCAAATGATTTTACAAATTGCACATATGCTGAATATTGCTGCACGTTATATTTTTTATTTCAAAAATTGTAAATGCTTTAACATTGTGCACACATAATCGATTTAGGTACAATTAGGTGCCCATAAAAATAATTGAATTAGACAACATTTAGCTAAATGTTATTATATTTTGATTGTCTTAGTAGACATATGCAAAATTGATGCTATTATCAGTATATAGATGTATAAAGTTTTACATCCTTAAACATATAGCTGCTACATATTTAGCTCATTGCTGGTTATTTTTAGGACATAACCCCATGATAAACCAGTGACCACTTTACCTCAATGTTATTTTTGTTCAGAAAAAGTGAAGCACTTAGGGCAGCTGGTGTTGTTGTTCATGTGCTACATCAATAAACTTGATATTGACATCCTTGACACCAACCAAATGGCATACCTTGAAATAGACCGGATCAACCTTGTGTCTCAGCGCGTGCGCCTTGCCCACCGACTTGAGCACGGACGCCACCTTCTCTGCGTTCTCCAGGCTCTCCACCAGGGTGTTGAGGGCGTTCATGACCCGGTGCGCGTGCTTCCTCAGCTGGGCACTGTTCTCCAGCTCTTCTGCCTCCTCCACGTGTTTGAACTGGCTGAAGTACTGCTTGGATGAGGGGAAGTTCACAAACAGCCTGCCAAGAGGAGAGAAGCGTAAGCACGAGCAGCTGCTGTGAGCGGGCCACCATAATCTTGATTTTTCTGCGTTTGATTTGGCAAAAAAAACATACACTTCAGAATCAGAATCAGAATCAGAATCATTTTTATTGCCACGTAAGTAACAGGAGGTCACAGACTAGGAAATTGCTTTGGCTCAGTGCAACAGTCAAAAAGAGATAATAAAAATAAGAATAAAAAACACTTCTAAAGAATAAATTTAAATTTAAAATAGAGTTACAGTTACTATTTACAATATACAAGTGCACATGGTGCACACAATGTAAGGTGACAGCAATACAGTGAAGTAAAGTGACGTATGATGGGCTTGGGAGCTGGCAAGATAACATTAGCAAACTGTCACGCGCCGCACACTCTGTACAACTATTCTAGGGTCATTTAGGGATACTTCATCTTAATAATATTGAAAATTATTACATTTACAGGGTTGACAGACAGGCCAATGTAAAAATCAACCAATCCATCAATAGACAGTTTTGAAAAGGGATTAGCTGTAGTTAATGCTTAAACACATAGATTATTTTTCAAGTTCTTTGATGTCTGTGGCCTGTATAGGGAAGGGCAAATGTATGCGTTTTCATTTTGTTAGAGCGCCCCCTGGGGTGCAGGAACAGACACAGCTCTATCAGCTATTGATGTCTAGAGCTGTGCACACATTACTGCTTCAGTTTAGGCGGACAGCAGAGAGACACGAGGAAATGAAGGGAAATAGACAGAACTTGCCCTATGTGGTTATATTGTTATAATCAGAGAAGAGTTTGTGGACTTAGTTTGACCCGATGTTGTAGTAGGAATGTTGTTGACAAAATATCAAGCCCCGGTGATCCAAGATGGCGCCCCATTCAAATGAATGGCTTGTGCTCAGTAGCGCATGGGACTTCACGGGCGCTGACATATCAGAGGAACTCGGCTATGTTTGGGCATCGTCTGGTCCTCCCAGTTCTGCGCACTGGATTATCTCCCATGATGCGTTGCGCCAAATACGCGTGTGGCTCCTATGCACGTGCACAGAGGGGCTCGGCTGCGCTCTGACCAATCAGAACTGCTGATCAGAGCAGTGGTAGAGCGGAGCCAGCGCGGGAAGGAAAAGGGCAGAGTTTGTGGCAGTAAAGTGTAGATTTAAAGAAAACCAAAGGATTTAAGAAAAAAAGTTCAGGACGACAAGGGACACTAAAATCCCCACAAAATCCGATATTTCTGAAAACTGTAGGTTCTCTGTCAGCTGAGGTCGACCTGTTTTAGTTTACATTGAGTTCTATGAGGGGCTGGTGCTATGTGTACTGGGTGGCATCTCTGGCCACCCCCCGACCCAGAAATGGATTAAGGGGAAGAAAATGGATGGATGGATGGATGAGTTCTATGAGACTTTTTCTGGGCAGCCCACATGAATTTAGTCTGCAGTACTACGGGCGCCCCCTGTGCCAATGGGTGGAACAGCTATAAGTTAGTAATACCCTATCTAGTTATTATTATAAATCCATGCAAAATATGTTGAATTTACTAGAGTGGTTTTATCATAAAAAGTCAACACCTCGTCATTAAATTGTGTTCAGATGAAAAGATCTCTGTTTTGTCCCATCAGCTGTTGGGTAAGTGTACACTTGTATCTAAGCTTATATGTGGAGAAAATGTTCCTTCTCTCAAAGTTAAACTGGAGCGTTTTTTCATACAGGTAGTCCAGCAGGTACTGCAGTTCAAATTTTAGGAATTTTATGTTTCCTCTTAGTCTGTAACCTTGGTGAGCATCTCTATCATGGAATTTTTTTTTTCATGAATTCTTGAAGTTGTTGTGTTAGCATCCTTTCCCCCTTGTCCAATCTTGAAATATGAAAGCAACCCATTAAGTTGAGGAGGAACATACTGTGACATTAAGTCATGATAACACTCATTTCCACATCCAGAATATGTGAGGAGGGAAATTCTGTTCAGTATTTCATGAAATAACTGTCAATTAGTGATATGTGGTTGTAAAGACAATCAGCAGAAATGCCACAAAAAATATTCTTGAGAATTTTAGAAGCAGAATAATGCAATCTACTCCGTTCTCTGTGTGGAGTGGGACACAAATGCCCACAATTGTAAAGTGCTTTGTGACTGTGGTCTGTTTAAAGGTGCTATATAAATAAAGATTACTTACTTACTTAATCCAAGCCTGGACTTACCATACCATCGTAGACATTTCATTTCGTAGTCAGGAAATAATAATAGAGCGTTTATTAGCGTAGAGAGTTTATGGATGGCTGTGGCTAGGCTAGAGCAATCTAAATTAGAACATATCTGTAAATAATCAAATTAATCTATTTAAGCAAATGAAGCAAAAATAACACATTTATAATTAATTTAATGTTTTATATATCTTATTTTGAATTCATTTTGCACCCCTGCTCAAAAAACTGAAATTCAAAAAGCAATTAACTATTAGTTGCTTTGAATGACTCAAAGACTTGATGTGAAGTCCGTAATTCAAAACAGAATTGAGGCCGTTTCCTGTTCGCTCCACAGGGTTTTCTCAGAAAAGCAAGAGGCAAACCCAAAGTGGATTTCTAAACACTGCTAAATTGAAAACATTTGTATTCAACAGAAAACACTGTCCTGGAACGCTGCACTGTTCTTGGCAGTTTTAAAAATATGTCCATCTAAGCCAACATTACAATGGACTTTTTTATTTCCTCTACACATGTTCATTGACGTGTCAGGGACCCAAATGATTTTGTCACTTTTGTCAATCATAGAAGCTGTTTTGAAGCCCAGATGAAACTAGTGTGTCAATGAAATTAGAACGCATATATGAATATCAAGTATTGCAGAATCTGCCCGAGAGTGAGATAATCACATCCACAAAGTTAGAAGTCGTATGTTTTATAAACCATTTTATCACTTCATTAAGCCATTAGAGGTTTAACACAGACTTCAGCCACATCCTTACATCGTGTTTTGAACTAGGTGAACTAACAGAAAAATGTGGCCAATCACATGGGCAAGGCGTGAGTTAGCTCAGCTGTTTTTGGTGTCTGAAATGTCATTCGGGTTGTTGAATGCATGGTATTTTAAATACCTTGAACTTTGTTGTTCATTTTTGACGCGGCAGAGGAAATAAAAGGAATCTCTCAAATCAATAGAACACAAAAATAACTGAGCTCTTGTCTTGTCCTCAAAACACAAACTAAACTTCTATTTTCTACATACAGTATTGCTGGATTAAGAACAGATTTTAGTCCTAGATTCTTATGGCAGAAAAGAAACATTGAGACATTGAAATTGTCATATTTTAAAGAGGATGCGAGTCAATTAAATCCAATATCTTTGGTGCCAAAGTTTTGCCCATTGAGTGTGGGCCTTAATCACAACAATAGAGCCAGGCTAACCCCTCTATCATCTAATAACGAGTGACATCCACATACAAAATCATGCTGTTGTCAGAGCAAACAATCACATTTCTAGGATGTGTTATCTCTCTCCCCAAATGACTCCAGAGGCACAAACTGACCCCTGCAGGAATGTGCCCAGAGAAACCTAAAAGCTCCTCCCATGAGCCAGCGGGAGCAGTGCCAGTATGTGTGCAAGCACATGTGCAAGTGTGTAATCTGCTGTCACTCTGCTTTCTCCTGTCCGGCAACTCATGAGGAATGCATTGACAGACAGCCACATACATAGGACTGCAGCCACAGACAACCACATTCCATTCAGTTTATTTTTGTATGGACCCAAATCACAAAACCAGTCGTCTCGAAGGACTATACAAAGTTGTCAATTTTGCCAACAGCAGATCAGAAAATCAAACAAATCGAACACAGGAAATGCAATAATAACAAACACATTTATGTGCATAAATGTTAATACATTTGCAGAAATGTCCATAAATAACCCACATTTCCTGGATCATCACAGTCCTTAGACCTTCCTGCATCAGCAAGGAACAACTCAAAAGTAAATAAATTAATTAATATATGCATTTTTATTTTATTTTATTTTTACCTCAGGGAGGCCTATGCTAAGAGAGGCTGTAGATCCAGGACCATACACAGTGAGGAGAGAGGCCCACTGACAGTCACACATAAATCTGCTTTATACACCGGCATTCCCCCACTTTGGGTATCTTATCCATCTTATTTCATACAACCAATAGTTCAACACACACACTTTGTCTGTTTGAACAATAACATTTGTACTAAAACTTTATGGACTTATTTTTTCGCCCCATCAACCCTGCTCTGACAACAGCCCTAACCACATAGAAAACAAGTCCGGTGCATTTCTCTTCATTTCCTTGTGTCTCTTTGCTGTTCACATAAACACAATGAAGCAGGATTGTGTGGAGCAGGAAGAACACACAGAAATACATACATTGGCGGCATCGCTCCAATAGGTGAGATCAATAGACGTAACGTAGCAGCTTAAAGGCCAGGAACTACTGTATTTGACAAGTTATAATTTGTATGTTATAATTTAATTTATTTTACTCAAACAATTTACAGAATGTTTAGTATAGCACTATTCTTAGGGTTATTATAGGCTTAAGTGCTGGCGTAAAGCAAAAAAACCTATCCTGGCACAAAACAAGTTTAGCAGAAACTTTTGCTCACTTGTTGATGCCATTACTGATGATTTTATTTTTTTTATTTACAAACAGCGTCTTGGCCATGGGTCTTGTCTTTACCTTTAGATTCTTTTCGAGTAACTTTTCTTCATTGTGATACTTTTAACTACTTGAACTTCCTACCACTTGTTTCTAATAGCTTTGGCTTGTGATTCAGCACTCTGCCTGCTGTGATGACCTCTTTGGGCGTCCAAGGGTGGCAAGCGTTCGAACTTTAATGAGAAAATTTAAATAGTCATTTGGAAGTCTTAATCCCTCCTTAACTAAATAAGTGCTCTTCAATTAGAAACAGCAATCACTCGCAACTTTGGCGTTCGCGTCCTCAGTTGCCCCCAGGACAAAGTTAAAAGTCTTGCCTGACGGGTACGTTCACAGCTCAAATATCACATTTCGCACATTTTGCATGGGATTAGCGAAACAAAAAACATGCGAGTGTGTTCTCTGATGACTGCAAGTAGTTGTAAAACCTGTTAACTTTCACACATCATAAACAAAGCATAATTAGAGTACACTGTGACCTACATTTACATGCTACGGTCACATATCACAAAGACTGTTAAAACACGGAGCACCTTTGTATGTAATCGATCTCAATAAGACTGTCACTACTGCTACAAGTCTAAACTAGGGAAATCCATAGTAGATGAAGTATGTTAACTGATGCAAGGCAGTCATATTTTCAGCCTGATAGACATAAATTGTGAAAGAACTGGAGCGATGAACCATGCAAAGGATTTCAAGGTCTGATCGGGGGTGATGGAATGGAGTTGCAGACGTTTCAGAATCGTGGATAAGGGAAAGGGAGTGTCTTCTCGCAGCCAAAGGTATAAAAGACTGATGTATTTGACTGTTTACCCAGAACTACCAGGGTGATGAATGGGATGAAGGCAGCGAGAGGGAGGAGGACGGTTATTGGATTCGCAGAAACGTGGCAAGATTCGGAGAGACATCTGACGTTTTATTATTAGAATATGCTCGGTATGCGCTCGTGCTGTGATTTGATAGTGAATGTAGTGAAGTGAAGTGGAACTCAAGTCTTTCCAACTGTTTTATTGCCCAAGATCATCTCTGGGTTAAGTACCAGTCCTGATCAGTACCAGTCCCAATCAGACATGGTGTGAACATTTATGGACATTTATCAACACTTACGGACATTGGTCATCTGCCCCTTATGGACAAATACCAAGGTGTTTATTATCTAATTTATTGTGTTTGATTCTCTGGTCTGTGTTGGCCAATTCAACAGCTGCGTAAAGTCCTGTTGTGATTTAGGGCTATACATAAACAAATTGAATTGAATTGTGTACTGGGACGGTCTATCTTTTGTCTTTTGAGATGTTTTAATAGATTGACAAGGATTCCGATGGGAAAACTGCACAAATCAGAAGCTGTGGCGCAAATTAGCTAAAGAAGTTGGTATTTCCAGATGTTGGTGTAAGCCACATCAATCTTCATTCAATTTATCAACACGTGATTTTATGCCAAAAGTACTATTCAGGTCAAATGCAAAATGCGTAGTTTTGAGGGCTTTTGACACACCCCGTTTTTTGGTTTGCGAATGACTCAAATGTGCGTGTATTTAGTCGACAAACCATTTATTCTGATCCTCGTCTAGGCCAAGTTTGCAAAGGTTAATCTATTCTCTGCTTTTTTTAAACCAACCAGCACATCTCGACTGGCTCCGGCCCTGACCTGTTCACCTGGGAGTCTTTTTAAATACCAAAGTTGGTCTCCATGCTCCAGGCACGGCTCTGGATCCACGGTAAAGGCTATGATCTGAGAATTCTCTAGACACCGCTTGATAAACATAATAAATAAAAATATCTCATTTATTTTAGTTCAGTTTATCTGGCATTGTCTGAATGGGTTGTTTCAGAAATGCTGGTTGCTGCCCTTGCTGTGTTGCTGTTGCACAAGCTCTGCCTTTCCTCATTCTGGGACAGATCCATTGTCTCTTCAAACTATTATCAAGGACCAAAACTAGGATACACCTGGGCAAAAAAAAATACTAGTAGTAATAATAACCATGCTTTTGTCTAACACACTTATATTTGATCCATCACACATATTCTTATTAAAGGACCATAAAAGACAAGACAATATTTAAACTTTGTAAATGCTAGGTGCCTCATTAGGACATGTTGATAGAGATTCAAAATGTTTTGGTCAAAAGTCGTAATTGTATACATTTTGCATGCAACTTTGGTAGATGTTTCATTGACACAAGCTGTGATCTCAATACTAAAACAGCCCTGAAGTGCACTACCCATTGGCCTTTTCAAAGATAGATTTGAACCTTGTTACAACCATTACTAACTAACTGACCACTACTATTTATACACTCAGTTTAAGCAGCTATTATTGAGTGCTTTCTTGCATACATGCCTCCATTGCTCCGACAACCCCGGTACCCCTGCCATGCAAAAAAGCCCACTGTTCTTTAATTACTATTTACTACTGGATTAGGTGATGAGGAAAATCTGCTGCTACCACCACCCGCTACTATGTCTGCACTTTGTTGTGACATTTTCAGTCAGCAAACTAGTTCATTTTTCATTATAGAGAGAGAAATAGTGAGAGTTCTTACGTTCTAAATACATTATAGTGATCAATGGGTATTTTAGATTGATCAAAGCACAACCTACCAAACCACGTTGTCTGGCATTGTGCACTAAACTAAATCACCAACCTGACCAGGATGGCGACCCCGGCATCGTCGCAGTTCTCGTAGACTTTTGCCCACGAGTCTTGGATCATGACCCTCTCCTTGTCGGTCAGCGGACTCGGGCGCTCCAGGTGGTCCATCTCCCCATCTCCTTGCATCTTCTCTTCTCCTCTAACTGGCAACAACAACAAGATACACACACACACAGGCACAGTTAGGGGGGAGTGCACACGTGCCTCCACTGACAGGATACCCTTCCCCCTTCAGCTCGAGCGAAGCAGCATCCCTCACCTTTTTGCCGAGAGAGGAAGAAATTGTCCAAATTCCTGATGGTTCCCGCCTCCACTCCTCCAGCGCGCGGACAGCCTTTGCTCTTCCTCACCGCTGGAGCTGGGTGAGTGTGGTCCAGGCTGGAAAGACACACAAGAAAAGGCACGCAGCGAACAGGGAGGAGCCACTCGCTTGTGTACACCCTCTCCCTCTCTATCCCAGCCCCTACACCCCGCTCACCTTTGGAGGATGTGTATGGTGGAGATAAAGAGTGCTACAAACTAGATTCATCCCAATCGAAATTGTGATGGTTGCAATTAACATGGACATTATCTCCTTTGCAGACAGCTAATGATCTTTTTGCATTGTTTACAAATCTGGCTATCCATGTGTTTAGAGCTTTGAGGCAGGTTTAGAGATACAAGCATTAGTGAAAATATAAAAAATATGCAAATTAGAGCTCAAGTGAGGTTGCATGTCTCTTAATTTGAGTGCATTTTACTGTTTTAAGGAAAAGGCTTTGACATAAGAATTTGCATATGCTCTCATTTCAACAGTCAACAAATTGTCCAATACTCTCAACATTTTAGTTGCAAATCAATTATAATAACAATGTTGTAAATTGTAGGAAAACATGATTTTCTTTTTAATGGGCATCTGCGTATATCTTTGATTTAGCGCCAAGCTGACAAAAAAAAATGTATATGTAAGCTTGGTGCCAACCTGAAAGAGTTCATGCTTTGTTCTTACAACATGTACACATTGGACTGCACTTGAATGTAACACTTAACCTACATCGGATGGAGCAAATCAAAAACGATGGCGGTTGTAACAGATAACAACATGATTTAGGTGTTTAATGCACTATTGACTTGTTACAGACAAAGCTTTGTAAATAACTCTGGGCTAACTGGAGGCAAACATGGAAACAAGTCAGGAATCATTTACCAATCTATATTGACAATAAACATGCCGTCCTATTGCTATTAAACCTGGATGGAGGTAAAATACGTTTTTTTTTATGGTGCAGCCCTAATATAAACTTAATCCTTCACAATAACAATAATATTAAAGCTCAATTGATGTCGGAGATGGTCGTGACGTTGGGGGTGAGATAATAATTTTGAATTTTGAGTAGATTAACCTGATGTGACATTGAGTTTGGGAAAAGCCAAATAGTAAAAGGCAGCAGATCATCCATGTAAGTCTAGGCAGGTAATGGGACCACCACATGGGTTCTTCTCTTCTCCCAACGCCCTTCTCAAGAGGTTTGGATCCAATGTTGATCAAACAGAACCCATGTGGTGATCCCATTAACTGCACTGTTTTTCAGGAATCAATCATTATTTAGTGAACGAGAAGAGTAAGGAAGAGGGCAGATAGAAGCATGAGATAGAAGGGTTATTTAAAGCCTAACAGGGGAGGTGCAATGTTCAGTAGGTGTGAACCACAGACCTGCGTTAAACATTGACAGAGCGCTCGATACAGAACATGCACGCGAGAGGAAGACACGGCACAGGGAAATGGCAGAAAACCAGTCGCAGGCAGTCCATATGTCATGCACAGCCACTAATAACAATCCCATAATATAGGCCTGCAACAATCAGTCGATTGATTGAGATAAAATTTATATTAGTCATTATCCGTATTTGATAATCACAAATTATTAACAACAGAACACATAAAAAAACTAAATGATAATTATTTCTGAACCTAAACCATTGGCATTAATACACTTTAATTGTAAACTGACTCTATTTAGAACTTAGAACTTAGAAGTTCAGTCAGTTAAATTTATCTATTTATTAGAAAATGTGACTTTATTTAAACAGAATTGTCCCACTGAGATTTAAACATCTCTTTGCCAGGGAGTACCCAAAAAAAGATAAGGAGACAATAGTGCAAACTCCACTCAGAACAAAAAAATCAAAACAATTCCAATGTACTATTGAATATGTAAATGTTTTTGGGCAAATAGTAATAGCTGATTCTTGATAACTAAAACAACACCTGATGAATATGTGAATATGAAATTCACATATGCATGATATATATGCACTATGTTGAGTGTATCTTTTGAAGAGGAGCCACAGAAATGTAATACGCACCTGATTGACCTGAACTATGGCTTAATAATCTTATATACACTTTGAATATTAACGAATGGTCTATTAGGCCTTGACGGACTATTGAAATTTGTTTGTTTAAATATCCTTGTGAGGATTTGTACTTTATTGGAGGAGAGACCATAGGGTGAGACGTAGCTGAAAAATAATGACATCTAGTGGACGGCTAAAGTATGACATTTTATGATCAATTATTGATAAAACATTGAGTGTGCCACTGTCTTCATCTGTCATACTTTAGGACAATCTTCGTTTCCTATTCGCAAATAGTTGAGATTGGAACGCTAGATTTCACCTGAGGCTCCGGGCATTTGCTGTTCAAAGCAGAAAACCACGTGCCTATTGAACACTAGGTTTCAGCTGATTGATTTGAACCACGAGGCAAGATACCAGACAAAGTTGCTTTTAAAGCCTTGTTAACCACGTTTTATCCGCATGGTTGCCCGTGATGTTGGTATGCTACATTGGTACACAAACAGGAGAAGAAATGTCATATTTATATTAAGGTACCTTTGCATAAAGAGGTGAGCGAGATTGACCCGCAGAAGCTTCCGTAAGTGGTGGGTACTGTGCATGTTTAACGCTAGAAGACTTTTCTCCCTGCTCCTGCTGCCATCAGATTGTATGGTGTATTTTGTATCGTTCGTTTCATTTTAATATACTGATATCATCTAATATCCACATATAACTATATTAATGTTCCAATTAATGTACCAAATGTGGAAAGTTGAATTTGTATGCCTTGATCTGATACTACTGAGGTCCCATGTACGTTCATTTGAAAATGTAAATGAGTAATATTGCTAGGATTTGTTCTATTAAAAAAATATTATCATCATTAAAATTAAGAGTATAGATAACTCTTTGATTAAAAACTATTTCTTCTCTTTTTACAGTTCCAAGATGGCCGCTGTGGCTTCAACTGCACCACTCTCCACAGCTCTTCTACCTTTATTTACCCCATTCTCCGCGTACGCACTTGTGCTACCTGCATCATTATTGTGGCAGGTGCCGAACTTCTGCCTCTGTTTTCCAACCAATACATATATAAGCTCCGTGTGGTGTCGGTAACCTTGTAGACTTTATCGTGCGAGTACGGTCTGCGTTTTTGCTCCATTTAAGCTAGTCTGCGGTGGTTAGCTTATGCGATCTACACAGACGGGCATTGTGCAGCTAGCTGAAAGTGGGAAAGTGTGGCGTGGGAGCAGTGCAGCGTTTCAACCATTGACACAAGACAAAAATCACGATGAATGTCCCTAAAACTGGATACCGAGTTTTCTCCGCCAACTCCTCTGCAGCTTGCACAGAACTCGCTAAAAAGATCACAGAGTAAGTACGTGGCATCTGGACCACTGCATCGAATGAATGAATGGGTGAAAGAAACTGTTTAAAATGTTATGAAATACTTGTCAACATACAATGCAAGCCTACTGGAGTAAACCGAGCTGGTGTGTAATGTAAGGTTTTTATGTTTAGAGGTGGCATTGTATTTCCATGTCGACTATTATTAGGATTATGGAATATTTTAAAATGATTTGCATCCATTCCTAGTAATCTATGCACACTTCTGTACATTCAAGAGGTGACTTGTGTTATTATTCCCTCACCATTGGCCACCAGTATTCTTTGTCTACGCATCAATATTGTTTAACACTTGACATGCAATTCACTTATTTCATTTAAACCTCTCAAACCACTTGTGCTTGCTTCACAGGCGACTTGGAGTAGAACTGGGGAAGTCTGTGGTATTTCAAGAATCCAACAGAGGTGAGGACAATCAGTTTACCGAGTTTCACAATAATTTTGTACACACAAGGGTAAGGTATTCCTACACATAGAGCAAACTCAACTTTCGGAACATATATGGTTTGGATTGTTATGTAATCCAATCCAAATTCATTAATCTGATGTGAATTTGTGGTTACTCAATGAAAAAGTTAACTTAAAAATTGCAATAACCATTTCAAATGACTTTGAAAGGGTTGTCAAAACATCATTCAAAGTATAAACAATAGTTCTTTTTAACAGAGACAAGAGTGGATGTCAAAGAATCTGTACGTGGTCAGACCATTTTTATCATCCAGACCATACCTAGGTAAGTGAAACAAACAAAATCGCTGTGTAATGATAGATCTGTTTTCATTGTGTTTATTTTTTCTTTAGAGATGTCAACACTGCTATTATGGAACTGCTCGTCATGGCCTATGCTCTCAAAACGTCTTGTGCAAAGAATATCATTGGAGTCATCCCATATTTCCCGTACAGCAAACAGTGCAAGATGAGGAAGAGGGGCTCCATAGTGTCCAAATTGTTAGCCTCCATGTTGGCTAAAGCCGGTACGTAAGCAAGACCTTTTGTGCCTAAATGTCATGTAAACAACTGTGTTTTTGCAGGAATAACGCACATAATAACCATGGACCTGCATCAGAAAGAGATCCAGGGATTCTTCAGCTTCCCTGTGGACAACCTGCGTGCCTCCCCCTTTTTGATACAGTACATTCAAGAGGAGGTTACATCATATTTTACTTTTTAATTTATGTCTGTATGGGGATGTACATTGAAGATCAAAGCGAATGACTGGAGGCTAAAGGCACTTTGGTCAAATGCATTAATACTAAGACGGGGAGGTTTAGTCCCAGGCAAACTTTAAAAAGAAAGATGACCGATGCCAATTGTTTAGAAAACAAACAAGCCTATGTTGGAGCCTATTCTCACATTCTAAATTGTATGTCTGGTGCATAAGAGTACAACCAAAAATCTTCCACTTTATCCATAATATTTTACAATAAACAAATGAGAGTGGAGTTCTTGGAATTAATTATTAGATTTAATTTCGAAAAAGATTTGAGTGCTGTTTGGAGCAAGGGGAGGTGTATGACCAGTGAAATTGTTGTTCGGATAGGTGCACCGAAAGATGAGCTTTGAATGTGTCATCCGACTTTAAACTTGCGCTGCAAAATTCCATATTTATGTTTTGTATATTACAATTTTTTTTGTTTTTCTGTTGACAGATTCCAGATTACAGAAATGCAATAATTGTTGCAAAGTCTCCAGCAGCTGCCAAGAGGTTAGTAACTTTAATGAGAGGGGGCACTTAGATAAGAGTTCCTTTATTCGTCCCACAGTGGGGAAATTTCGACGTTGCAGCGCACATACAGGACAGTAGTAAGAGCACACAAAATGTACAAAATAAGTAGTAGCTATGTTTCTTAACTAGCTGCAGATGCTGTAAATGCTTCAATACCAGTCATAAGATATACAAGTAGTAGTGCTGAGTTATATACTGTATCTACTCATAATCCTGCCCTATATGTAAAGTGCAGTATCGCACAAAATTTAGGTATTTACTTATTTACAGATGAATGAATTAACTTTGTCTATCAACTATTTATGTTAAAAAAAATGTCTCTCAATCGACACAAAAACAATGCACACTGAAGAAATCCGTGATTTGCATTAAACAATTTAAGAGAAAAGCCTTTGATTAATGTTTTATGAAACATTGTTTGAGTGCCATGTATTTATGTGCGCTTGTGTTTTAAGAAGGCATAATTATATTTGCATCTTGTTAAATGGTAGATTTCATTGCCACTGTAAGGTGTTAACTTTTTTCAGAGCGCAGTCGTACGCAGAGCGCCTCAGGCTGGGCCTGGCTGTGATCCATGGAGAAGCTCAGTGTTCAGAGTCAGACATGGCGGACGGCAGACACTCCCCTCCATCTGTGCGCAACACCACAGGACACACCGGCCTCGAGCTGCCCCGTAAGACCACCACACGTTACTACAAAACAGACCCTTCGTATCATCAAATCTACTTACACATGTCTTAAATACCACTGCATGTACATGTGCATTATTGTTTCTTTCGTGAAACTGAAATACTAACTGGCACAGCCAAGAACTAAATATTTACGTCTGATTTGAGAAAGTCTCGAGGCCACACTCTTAACACAACTCTTGTGCTGCCCTTTTCATATTTTGAAGTGTGTAGATCAAGTAAAGCTCAACTAAAACCAAATTTCAAAAGATTGTGTCATTGGCAAATGACTTCCAAGTATTTTGTCCAGTATAATTTTTTTTCTGCATTTTTAAGCTTGTTAATAGACCACTCAGTGTAAATATGTCTGATTTACTTTTGATTGTTTTAATACTTGACCACAAGTGTTTGTTAACTTCACGAGTTTTGGCTGCTTCCTGTAGCTCTTGTCTGTGTGACACTGGGTCCTGAAGTGAACATGTAAATGACGTAAGCTTTTCCCTCATGTCGGGATGAAACATTTAGTAAGAAGACAGCCCTCATCACATATTGCTTCTGTTAACGGATACTGGAAGTAGCCAACACATGTAAAGCATTTTTGTTCAAACTATGATAACCTGGACTTAAAAATCCTCTTTTTAACTGTAACGGTAAAAAGTAACACTTTCTTTAGAGGATTTTCCAGTCTTGGCTTCACATGTTTATGTCCGATCAATGTGCTTTTTGTTAATGTGATGTTTATTTGTTGATAATAGCAGGCAAACAACAAGCTCCGTTCCCTGGCATAGAGCTCCCAAGTACGACCGTAACCTTAACTTACGACTGAATACATCTGAAATGACTTGACTTCTCTTCAAATGGTTTTTGGATCTGTGCATGTTGAGCAGGGTTTATGTTGCATCATGTAAATTACTCGGTCTGAAGTCCTATAGGTGCCAGAAACGAACCAAACCTTGTAATTCCAGGCATCTCTCCATTGCAAATCAGACTGGTAATTCTACAAGATGCCCAAAACCCAACCTGTTTTTTTTTTTTTTTTTTTTTTTTTTTTTTTTGTGATCAGTTTGTCTTCCAAAATCTTTAATCCTAATCCAAACCATGCAAAAGCTTTTCATTTTTTATTTTGACTTCAAATTGTATCTGGACTCATCTTGCCAATCAACACATGGTGCACCCATTGAAAGCCTGTTACTTTAAACTTGATTAACATTTGTTCTCTGCATGCAATGACAACCTAAGCATGGTTTGAAAGCTAACCTTAAACGATGGTATGATGGGAGGTCTACAAATGAAAGCGGTCCACTCAGCTCAGTCACTTTTAAAGTCACATTACCAGTGTAGTATCCCAAGCCACTGATAAACATTCCTTATAACTGATCAGTGAGCAAACAGACAGGCTTTTATTCTGTATTTTTCCCTAACGTGGCTTTTGTGGCTCATGGCGGCAAATGTATGGCAGGTTTTGAAGCTGTAGGCCTCGTGGTATTCAACAAACCATCTGTTTCTGTTTTTAATGTTCCTTCACAATCAGATAGCCTTCTTTCTTACCCTTTTTGAAGCTATATTTACATGCACACACTTAAATGCTCAAGTTTAGCCTCCAACCCAGTGTAATAATCAAATTTTTGCTGTTCCGGATGCTATCTTGAGTGCACTGTTTGGGTTCATTAAATTCTTGAATTGGATTGCGGAATTCTGCTGCGAGTAAAGTCCCATAAATCTAAGGGCAAAAACTGTACGCTCAAACAAGCTAAACACTTGACAAACTACAGGATATTCTGCAGTGTGAAATGAGAATTTAAATATACAGTTATTTTTTTGCATAAATATAATCAATGAATGATGTAATTCAATATTTTGATTATTTGTAGAGTAAAGTAAAAGTAAGTCAGACCTGCTCTCAGTGCATGTTGGCCTTCACAAGGCGGCCCTCTGTCACTGGTTTTGTTCACTGTATGGACAACATTTTGAGGTGCAGCCAGGGTCCGTAGGGCGTACAGTTCAGGATTTTTTTCTCTGCTGTTTGCAGCAGATGTTTTCCTGTTTACTTCAACAAACCAGAATGCAACGTGTTCTGGGATGTTTTCGGTTGGCGGCCGAGCGTGAAGCAGTTGGGGTGAAAATCGGCACCTCCAAATCCGATGCCCTGTTGATGGACCGGAATAACGTCCCTTGCCCTCTCTGGGTGGAGGAGAGGACTTTCCTCAAGAGGAGGAGTTAAAGAATCTCAAGGTCTTGTTCATGAGTGAGGGACGGAGACCCAGGAAAATGCCCAGGGATTCCTCCTGATGCACGGGAGGAAGTGTGTGTGTAGGAAAGTCTGGACTTCTCTGCTTAGGCTTCTACCCTGCGACCTGGCATTGGATAAAGCAGCAGCAGCAGAAGATGGATGGAATTACATGCAAATCTTTCCATCCATCCATCCATTTTCTTCCCTTTAATCCATTTCTGGGTCAGGGGGGTGGCAGTCAGAGATGCCACCCAAGTCTCATAGCACCAGCCCCTCACTGACCCTCTGCAGGTGGTGAGTCCACAGGAGGACGGCTGCTCTGAGTGTGAGCATAGCCTTGATCTTTCAGTGGGGGCTTTGGGGCAAAGTGGGGTTAAGTGTCTTGCCCAAGGACACAACGACAGCAGTCATCAGTGGGAGTCGGTGGAGAAGGTGCAGAGGTGGGAATATAGGTGGCAAATCTTTGGGAATAAATAATTTCCTTTAGCAATGACAATTCTTGCATTTACAAAAAACGCAATATTCATTTGTGAGGACATCATTTTTAGGGCTTAATCAAGCAATCTTCTTGTCTGATTCTAATCTCAATACTTAGAATAACTGCTGAAACCCAACACGCACCAAACCCAAAGACAGTACTGAACAGTACTGCCCTCGACATTGACATTTTTTAACTGTTGATGTAACTGTAGAACCACTTTCTGAGTAAAAGTTAAAACTTATCTATTATTCAATTATCTTAGATTTGTTTTATGTCAGCCAGTAAACGGTGTCAGTACATCAACCAAAAGGCCAATCAGGATATCTACTGAAGCGATAACGAAGAAACTAAACCAGGTCCAATATCTGCTCTGATATCAAAATATATGGTAAACCTAGTACTTTTAAGCTTTAGTTTCACGCTTCGTATTCAGAGAGATGAAAAAACTACTAACCAACTGTTAACCCTAACCGTAAACGCAGAATATGTTAAACCTGTTCTAAACTGGATACTCACTTTTTCAAATGTCACATGAACCAAACGCATAGTACTACATAGGTTGATACTTGTGCATGTAAATTTAGCGGTCTGCAGCGGCTGACCTGACCGTGTGGAGTGGCCTTCTCAGTGCTCGTTTGATCCGGCCGCCTGTTGCATAATGCTCTCAGCACAGTATGCAGACAGCTGTTTTGTTCTCTGATGGTGTGTGTGTGTGTGTGTGTGTGTGTGTGTGTCCAAGCACTAACCTCTGATTGGGTATCCTGGGCAAAAAAAAATCCCTGCTCCCATTGCATTGGATGGTTTTGCATGGCATGTGCTCTGCTCCGTTTGGCAATGCAGTTCAATCTCCAGGTGGGGTCGAATGGTGGAAAAATGACTGATTTGCTCTTAATATCATTCACCAAATCTCATCAAATTTTGATTTTAGAAAAGGCTCAAAGCATTTTCTCAACCCATTTTACCCAATCTCATGAGATGAAATTTGGTTTGGTGATGCGGGTCTTGTCACTGAGCTTGGATGTGTTGTGCATTTCAGTGATGATGGCCAAAGAGAAGCCTCCCATCACCGTGGTCGGCGACGTTGGCGGGAGGATTGCTATCATCGTGGCAAGTCACGTTTGAGATAATTAATATAGGCCTTTTATTTTCCACATCTATTCCTATTAATCATAATAGGAATAGATCGTGGATGTGGTCAGTGGCATGAAGTAGTTTTGGAACTGCTTGATGCCACTGACCACAACTGCAACATTGTGGGATATTCCCAAAATTCTTTTTTTCAATGCAGATTAACATTACAGACATGTCCTGCACAAAATATATATTCAATCTCCAATCTCCCAGTCAAAAAAGAAAAATCCAACTATTGGTTAGAAAATACTCAAACTAGAAATGTTTCGCTAATATAGGTAATTGTTTAAAAATAATAAATTGCATCAAATGCTAATTTATGACATTGTTATTTTGAATTTTTTGAATTGCTGAGCAGAAATTAAAACATTTGAAATTGGAATGTAGAAGTGGTTCTGTGCTTGTACATAGAGTTCATTGTTCCTTTTGACTTAGGAAATGTAATTAAAATCACAGTATGGTTGACAATGTAAACAAATGGTTACATCTTTTTTGTTGTCAGCAAAGTACATGTTGCAATTCATATTTTAAAAGTCAAATTTCTATTCAAAACTGAAGATAAAGGAAAATATGCATTTTTCTTATTTATTTTTAATGAAAATCGTATTGACTGCATAGCCACACACCATATGTAAAGGAGTCGGCTAAAACACACACGGACAGTAAGTAAACAAGACCCAGTGCACTGTTGAAACATGAATCGTATATAGACTTGACTAAGGGAGTGTGAGGGAGTGCACTTAATGTGGAGGGCTGTTTTCTGTAGAGTAAATTTTATAACTCTCTGAAGACATATTTACAGACTCACTTTGATTTTTCCAAATGCATGTTTGTCAGAGAACAGCTGCTGATGGGAAAGCCTTTAATGAATCTGTGTCTAAAGGCAACAGTCTGTTTTCTGTAGTTTACATAGTTTCATACATTTAGCACAGTTCACACTTCCTCATCTTTGCTCTCCCATGGGAACTGTGGGCAAAAACAACTTTGTAAATGGCTCTTAAAAGTGTTAGTACTAACGTATCATGGCACGAGCTAATCAAATTGGAATGCAATTGGTTTAGCCTACTACACACAAATATATTGGAAAGATAGATGATAAATGCAAAGCCCCCAAAATATATTGTTAGAAATGATTTATTTGAACAATAAGTAGATTCAACTAGTAAAAGGGTGAGCAATTGCTGATGTTTTGTCCCTCTATGTAATCTGGCCTTTTGTTTTGACAGGATGACATCATAGACGACGTGGGAGACTTTGTGGCTGCTGCAGAGCTACTCAAAGAGCGAGGCGCCTATAAGATCTACATCATGGCCACTCACGGGCTGCTGTCTGCCGACGCCCCTCGGCTCATCGAGGAGTCCGCCATTGACGAGGTGAGATTATGGATTTGTGATCAGGAGCCAAAATGTGTGTTTTTCAATTGACATTTACAAATACACAGTGCTTATAAATGTGCATACTCTGGCACAGCTTTCTTGGCCACTTTTCAGAGAATTTCAACGTTTGGGTGGTGGTTGAATCATGCTACCCAAATGACTCCAATCAGAAGTTTAGAAACACTGGTGATTTTTAGCACATAAAGCCCCGTTTATATGGAGACAATGCGGCAGTAAAACGCTATAGTTGAATGTCGGTTGCTACCCCCTGTTCATACGGAGACTGTTCCAGGGGAGTGTTCAGACCCAGCCTGCAGAGTGGGGCAGCTCAGATACTCCGATTTCACACCCGCATGAGGGGAAAAAGGTGTGAATTCTTTGCCTGATATCACCCCCACCTCCCCGCTGCTACCCGCACGTAAATATGGACATGCGCAGTAGCCGAGCACAAACGTAAACAACAATGGCGGCGGGTACACTAACTAGCTACCTGTGCTTCGAGTGCTACAGGGAGGAGGAACGAGACCACGCGGAGCTCTAGTTTCAGTTTCAATTTTCGCAGCTGCTGTTAAAATGTAGAATGATGTTGGTGCATGTTTTCACGTTTTGCAGAGGAATTGAGTATACTGCTGGGCATGGGGCTGGGGCTCACGTGTGTCTGTTGTAAAGTTCTTCTGCCCACTACTGGCTGGGCCTCAAACTACATCGTTTTTTATCCTTGTATGAACGCTGTGAAATTTCCATTAGGAGGCTGGTCGTTTCTGTTAATAACTTGGCAATGTCTGCGCAGCGCCTCCGTATAAACGGGGCTCAAGTCTACACAAATTGGTTATAATTTTTAAAGGTGACATCCTTGACGTGTGTGAGAAATATGTTACATAGAATATAGAAATCGTCCTATGTTTGCATAGCGCTGAATATGATATTGTGAGAGTAAAAGTTATGGGTCATTTGAATGTGATTTCCCAATATACCCCAGAGCTTGTCTGAGAATGTACCTCTAACCCTCAAAGCTGTTATGTCACTAACATCTGACCTAACTGGTAAACATAAGCTTTATTTACTTTATTTGAAAACGTTATATCAAATAGAACCACACATTCTACTTTTTAAGGCATGGCCATACTTGAATTATTCTGACAATTAAAATGGCAAATTGTGTGTTATTGCTTGTATTATATTTTTATTCAATATGGGGAAGTTTTGTCATTTCATCGTACATTTATCAGAACAGGTGTGACACTGAAGTATATTTTGCGTAGTTTCAGATTTCACTTCCCTTTATCAATCTTACAATAGTACGTTCCACATGTGCAACTGCCCTGAACCAGATGCAACGTTTTCACATGTGCCTACCCCCCCACCCCCTCCCGCAGGTGGTGGTGACCAACACTGTTCCACATGAAGTCCAAAAGCTGCAGTGTCCCAAAATTAAGACTGTGGACGTGAGCATGATCCTGGCCGAGGCCATACGGCGCATCCACAACGGGGAGTCCATGGCCTACCTGTTCCGGAACATCACCACCGATGACTAGAGCGGCGGAGGTGCCTTCTCCACAGAGAAGACGGCTCACGATTACAGATCATAAGAAATGTATGGCTGAAGATAGACTGTGAAATCACCTCATGAGACTGACACATTCATTTTACATGCCAAATGAATCCTTTTATTGCTTGATTAGCACCTGTAATACATTAAAGTTATGTAATTCGACCCTTCTTTATTGGAAATTTCACTCCAGTATGGAAAAATAAATCAAAGTTCTCTTTTTGTGCAAAAAAATGTTGGAACAATAATTATCGTGGCCCAAAAATGAGTGCTACACCTTTCAAATATAAAGCGATAACAGCGCTGTATTAAGTTAGTAAGAAAGTGGAGATCTGCCTCTTCTATCTTAGGAAGGCAGCTTAATTCAAGAGCTTTCATTTTCTTTTCTACAGTGTCCAAAATAATTAGATAATGGCAGTCTTATATATTATACAGTAAATTTGCTATTTCTATTTGATTGTGACAAGCCTAGACAGTGAAATAACAGATAAAAACAATACACCCATGTTTTTTAAAGAAACAAAAACCAAAAACACTATTGTCTATTGGAAATGATAGTTCACTGAGGTTCTTTTGGTCGTCTGATGGAAGACTGGGTTTTTGTGCCTGACCGCTTCAACTGCTGCCGATGTTCCTACCACGCTCTTGACAGTTGTTTTACAGTTTTTTGGCGCAGTCTTCCTCCCGCCAGAGGAAGGTCAACAATGCCCTCTACAGTGACTATAACAGCCCCTTCATGTCTCGGTCTTTAGTCTTGGGGCGCCTTTCCGTACTTTTATCGTCTTTGATCCAGCATTGGGGTTTGAGGGCCTCAGCCTCTAAATTAGCTATGGATTAGGAAAAAACCACTCTGGTTTTTAATAAGTAGTCAACTTGTAACACATCTATTTATGTTTATAGCACAATAACGTCAGTCTGACTTTTGAATTGTTCAGTGATGTAGTTTCAGAAAGTAAAAGGTAAAATTTTCCTCATGTAAAAATTGACTTTGGCCTTGTAGTTTCATGGATGTATAACATGAGCAAAAAAAAAACCCTGCTATTTTAATAGTTTACGATATTCTCGTGTCTTATTTTCTTTGCTGGAGTTTTGCACACTCGTTTATGGAAGTATGTAAATAAAAATATTGATGTGAAAGGCTGTTGTGACGGGGCAGAATGGAGCATCAGCAGCTTACCTCACTGATTACAGCATTTAAGATCTATGTATGAAAACCTTGAACTCTTGTGTTATGAATGTAAAGGAGAAAATGTATATTTTTGACCACAAATGCAATAGTAACAAAAACAGAAGTTGCACTACATTTCAGCCAGTTCTAATTATTCTGTCCCCCCCCCCCCTGAAGATAAAATAATCCTCTCTTTCTGATCAAATTGTTCTATATATTTTCTAATGGCATTTAATAGTGTGTGTGTGTGTTGTTTATTTCCAAAACTGCAGCAAGCAATAAAAAAATGAAGGTGTTTCTCATATACATGTTTATTGATCAATATTGTAACGCACAGAAATGTTACAATTTCCAGTTCTACACATTAAAGATAAAAACTGTAAAAAGGTCTTAAGTTGGAGAATGTGACAGGTTTCACTTCTGAGGAGTATTTCTGCGCTCAGGGATATTCTAAGCCATGTGTGTGCTTCGTTGTCTTTCCGCTGTCTAAACTTCTCCATGTTCTTGCAGTAGCAGTATGAATCCTCCTGTCTGAGTGCGCAGGTGGTACAAGGTTGTATCATTTCACATTGTTGTGGCTCAATCCGTTTCTGTATTGTCCGTTGTTGTACGTCCAAATAAAAGCATTGAAACAAGTCTATGGTGATCTTTCTCATTAGTGACATTTTCCATGTTTTGCTGAATGGAATAAAGCTAAATTATATACATTCTAGGTTGGAGTTGTCATAATGTAGAAGAAAGTCCAGGTAGAATGCAAATCAAATTACTTTTTTGTGAGTATATTTAGTTTGGATTGCTTCTAGTATCCCTCTTACACCCTTGACTGGATGGTTTTATTTCAATATTTCACATGTCCAAGGACCTGATTATATTTGATTGAATTTAACTACAGATGCACCTTGAATCTCATTAAAATTTCAGATAATTTGTGATGTGTTCCTAACTAACAAAATGGGGTAAATATGGAAAATGCAGAAGACCCATGTATAAGCACAAGGAAGTGGTGCTTGTACTCTCAAAATATCACTTACAAAAGCCAGGTTCCTATCATTTAACTTCCTTTCTCTAAATGTGAAACTGTCATTTAACTGACCTCATTCCAGCTACAGTAGTCCACTACATCTTGGTAAATTGTTTTCTATCCATTGTGTCTAGGTCAGTCATGATCATAGTAGGAAATGCAGTCAGGATAATCATTTGTGTAAGTCAGGGCACATTATACAGAGAAGAGCTCTACCTTTGTAATCCAAACCTGAACAATATTATACAAAAAACAGTATACATAAATTAGTTGTAGACAAATCTTCTGACAGGCAGTCCAGTCACAGTTGCAAAAGGCCTTTCAATGATCTTAAACTTGTTCACAACTTCTCAGTTCAATATTCCAGACACACTGAGGAGCTTTGACCAAGTCTAGGAGCACAGCCACACACAGAACAACGCTGGAAAACATCACTACACTTAATATTATTCATACAGATCATTTTAAGCATCCAAATTAGAGTTAAAACAAAGCAAGCGTCCTGTACCTTCCCGTGTGGCCAGCCGTGCCATGCCGTGCCGTGCCAGGCCAGAGCTGTGTTTTATAAACCTGAGTGAAGAGGAACTCAAAAGGCGATAGTCTGGTACTTCCTCCAGAGAACAATACTGCGTGTCTGTGTGCGTTTGTGGAAAGGGGAAGCAAACCTTTTTAACTTTCAACGTGCTGGTGAGAAACACGTTGCAAATGATTAACTTGTATTTGTTTGTATATAACTGTAACCCTGCTTTATGTAGTATAATGCAATATTTGTGCCAAAGCCATGTAACTTATTATCAGACATAAATATGTATTGACACAACATTTATCAACACGTGTGACATATGTAAAAACAATTTACTGAGACCATACAATTGAAAAATAAATTATTCTTATGAGCATTGATTCCATTCCCAATAACATGTGTCAGTATTTAAGTCTGTGGTCAGGTCTGTAGAAACGGCAGTAGGTTAGTTGTTTTGGAGTATTATGAATAAAAACAACAATCTTCTTTCCACTCGCAGTTAGTGGTTATGTGAAGCCATAAAAAGTGTCAGTTAAACGTGTGTTCCAGGTGGATTTTCTAAAATTTTAGGAAAGAACCGCCTTCTCCACTTTTTGAACAAAACTTCCTTGTCTTGTTTGACGAGCACGTGTCACCAGAATGATTGACAATTGGGAGGACCTATAGTCTTGATGATCCACCCGGAAGTAGAATATCCTCCAATATGCCTTTAATTCAACTCTCTGCCCTGCTAAAACCAAGTACTGGTAGTCTTTGAGCTTATAACGCTGGTCATCCAGCCAACTTCAGCTCAATCTATAGGCATGCAATACCTTTTTGTAAAGTTCAAAACCTCTGGAATTCAGCTGTCGACTTTAGTTGTATAAACTGGCATTTATGATGGACAATTTCCCATAATTACATTCATTGCATTTATGTAGCTGGTGCCATTTGTCATTCAGCCAACTTCAGCTGTATAGCTATGTATAAAGCTCAGAACAGCCAGAATTCAGTCAAAACATATTTCTACCATCTGCGTTTTTTGGCCCCCTGAACAAGCCTGGTTAACAAAAATGGCCCTCTTTCAAAAATGGTTCGACACCTCGGTTTTACAGCATCTTGGAGCTGCTCTGGGGAGATCTCAATTTTGTCGTTAATGCAAGACGGCCCTGGAATTTACAGGAACATGAGGCTTTTTGCCAAGAAAAATTTGCAACTTTATAATAAAAGACAATACAGAACATAATTCGTAACCACTAAAGATTCCAAGCTGTTTTGGAAACTTCTAATCAGGGTCAGAAGAGAACTTTCAGTTTTCATTATATTGTGACGATAGAAAACACATTTATTTGACTATAAATGGCAAACAACCACTCCACAAGCGCATACGACTCAAGCCTGGAACTAAAATCCAGCAGAGGGCAGTATAACATCAGAAAGCCCCTATTCATTTTAGAGTATCTTTTCTTTTTAATATAGTGGTTTTAAAACTTTTATGTGTCATGTTTTTTCTCAATGAGAGCAAAGTTTTAGTTGGATATCGGTGATTATTGCTCACACTTTTAAACAGTTTTTTGACACTACTATTACTGTTATTACTACAACCAATTCTACTATCTCCGCTACTACTGCTCTTAAATTAAAAATGTAATGAATAAAGACAAATAAATACACAGTTAAGACAAAATTGCTTTCTAAAAAAATAATTTATTTTTTAAACAATTAAAGAAACATTGCAATTAACAGTACATAGCCGTAACAATTTTTTTTTCACATACTGTCATGAACTATATTGTAGGCATGTATGTAATAATGACCGATTATGTACCATTGCACAGTTATTGCACTTAATAAACACCATAATACAAGCTTGAATCTGACATGTGCACTCTAAACCAGTCTAGTGCTGTGTTTTGAAAATTGTTTTTGTATATCAACAATTTCAGTTTGCAAATTGTTCTCTACTGATGATGTACAATAAGGAAACTGCCAAAGCTACACAAGAGTATGAGTTTTTTCCTTCAGTCTTTGGTCATTGATCATGATATTTGACAGCTGTTTGCTTTGTTCATAGGTGGATGCTTGCTGCCATCCTTGGGAAAAGTCTCTCTCCTCCGTGCCAGCGCAGGGCTCAGTCTACTGGGCAGGTTGGCTTGCTGAAGCAGCTCTTTGAACGCCTCAAGGACGTTGATGTTGTCTTTGGCGGACGACTCCAAAAAGCTGTGATTCCAGTCCAGCTCCACAGTCGAAAGTACGTCTTCGCTGGACACCTGTCGCTCATTTCGCCTGTCAATTTTGTTCCCTATCACCACTATGGGCGTGAACTTGTCCTCTTTCACTTCTAAAATCTCCTCTCTCAACTGCTTCACTGCTTCCAGGGAGGACAGGTCATCCACAGCGTAGACCAGGGCAAATGCATCACTGTTCTGAATGGAAAGTTTGCGCATGGCAGGGAAAGAGTAGCTGCCACTGGTGTCCATGATGTTGATGGTGACTTTGATCCCGCCGACTTCGTACACTTTGCGATGCAGCTCCTCTACGGTGCGTCGATGCTTGGGTTCGAACGTGTCCTGGAGGAATCGCTGGATGAGAGCCGTCTTACCCACACCAGCGGCTCCCAGGAACACCAGACGCACCTCGGTCTTCTCCTTCACTTCTAAAGACATGACAGTAAGAGGTGTGTGAGGGGTTTGAGAAGGGAGGGAGGAGGAGGAGACTGTTGCATGGATGTCTCTGAGCCACGGACAACTCTAGCGGAGTATTTATACACATGGGCCAGTCCCGCCCACGCCTGTAACCCACCAATCCAGAGTCAGCAGTTTAGAGGCACAAACAGAGGCTGGGAGAATGTGGTAGAAAAAAGAAGCCAGCATATGTGACAGAGGATGGAACATTATCATTGCGCAACCCATCGATGGCTAAGGCTTTCCTATAGGTTCCAGGAGATGAAACCTATTTCACCAGTGTTCAAAAGCTATTCTTTTTGCTGGAGTAGCTAATTTATACATAAATTAATAAATATATTCAGGTTATCCCTACATTTTTTCTTTTACATACTAAGAGCTGATTTGCTGATTGAGGGTTAGGGTTAGAGGCCATAAAAACATGCATGAGAACCCCAGTGATTGAACCAGTTTTGAGAGCTAGGGATGAGAAAATGTTATGATTTGAATGATGAAAATGTATAAACCCTTTAAACGCCCAAGGTAACAGCTTTGCAACGAGAGCTTGTGACTCCTGAGCACTTTCGTTAGACCTGACTTTCTTCAAACGTTCCCCTAATTTTGTTTTCAATATTTATTTGTATTCTTGATTTTAGTGGTGCTCTATCTCTTAAAGAGTGTCAGGGCTCCATTTGTTTTCTGTTTCATACTGTACTTTTTCTCTGGCTCCTAAAGGGTAAGGAAATGGCAGCCTTTTCCCCTTCAAAACAGCTACTTAGTACTGGGATTATTTCGATCCGAGGCACTCTGATTCAACTACTTTTCGGATCCATGCAGAAAAAAATGAATTGTGAATCACTACGGCAAATGTCTTCTTTTTCCATCATTCTGAAACCTATAGTAAAGACGCCATGATGCCCAAGAATAATGGCATTCATCTCTTCAGTATCGTCTGTATGTGTGAACACTAGACTAGTTATGTGATGGAAAACACAAAAGTGCACATATTCAAGAGCGCCTCTCTGTGCCAGAGGCAAGTGTGAATTTATTGAAACAGCGTTAGCAGGAGGGCATCTGGGGTGAAATCTGTGTCTCTTTACTTCTGTAATGCCAAAAGACAACAACATGGATGTTATTTAAAAGGTTAGAAGAAAAAAAGATAGAAAACTAGATTCTAGTTATAAATGAACAACATACAAGTGGGAATAATATAGTAAAGCGTATAGTTTTGTGACTACATTTCAATATTGCGTGTGTTTATCACTTTGCTGAACAAGAAGAGCAACAAGAGGACTACGGAAGGCAGGGGTTGTCCTTTGAAAGAAACACAGCGGTGCACACAAGCCACACAAGTTTTTTTGACTTTTAAAGGTAACTGTCATGTGATACAAGCAGTTATATGATCTTGTTGAAGAGTACATATATATTTATTTATATTAATAAAATCATATAAATCAAAATACAGTACATTTGAAAGAGGTTGAGTTCCATTAATTATATTATTAGTGATACTGTAATGTGGTTGTGAATAATGAACTAAAAATAGGCCTACTTTTACTGGAAAAATGTAAATATACATATTAGATCATACAAGAGACAAGAGGGGTAGGATTTCATAAGTTTAGAACTTCCTCTCACTTGTTTTGACCATCATGTTCTGGGTGTACTCTTTGTCAATATTTGTTTATAAAATAATAATAACAAATAAATAAAATAGATTTGTCTATGCAAAATATATCTATTCATGTATTCATGATTTGTTTATTTATTTTGATGAAACAATGATTGTTAATTAACAGACACAAGGTCACAATGAGTCAAAATGTTCGAATCCAGGTGAAAAACTGTTTCTGTTTATCTGTGCATACAACTGAGGGATTTTTTTGTTTACTCTTTTTAATGTACCGTGATTACTTATGATTTGAATGCCTTGTGTGATTGTTTCTCGTGTTGTTAAGAACATTGAGTTGCCTTATGTATGAACTGCTCCATACAAATAAACTTGCCTTGCCTTATAATTTAAAAACATTACAACACAACTCACAAATTACTCTTTTAGTCTGGCGTAGTTCTAATTCTGGTAACTGCAAATATGCAAATACTACGGTTGCTATGGTTATATACAATCTATAGAAGGCAAGACGATAAAGCTGATATATCATTTCATTTTCACCCAGACAGACAGGAGCGTGATGGCCTTAGTCGCTGCATATGTAGATGCCTTGCTCACATGTGGAGGTGAATAAGCGGGTCCGAAGTTTGTCAAATCAACACAGTATCTCAACCATACATATTAATATACCTTTTCAGAAAACATCTTTGACACCTTGGCTTGCTGAATGCCAAAACATCATTAATAATTCATATATTTCTTAAAAACAGACTTTATTACCATGGTTGATATTCAGATTTCTGCTAAGCTTCTCCTGGCATGGTCTTGGTCCCATGTTGCTAGGATACAGAGGAATCTATTACCTGCACAGGGATTTGCAGGCTTCATATACACCCAACTATAATGGCTGTCAGTCATTGGTCTGTGTTCACGCTTGAAAAAATAATGTAATTTAGCACTCAAGCGAAACAAATAATCTTTGTGAAAGTTAATTTCTTTTTGGAGCACAGTAATAATAATTTAATGGTGCTTCATGCTGTCAAAGGAGCCATTTGAAAAAGAGAGGATTAATCTCAAAGGCCAATCCAAAATAGAAATACAAAAATATTGGCAGACCTTTTTTATTGAAAACAGTCCCATGGCACTCCTCCAGCTGAAACTTATACAAACATGAAGCTCTGCAGCCTTTATTAAGTTATTCTAGTGAGTTTTTCTAATCTTCTCTTTTTTGTTTTGTTTATGTTATTTTGACCATTTAGGTGGAGTTTAGGGCAACACAACTTAAAAACATAATTCACCAAGACACACCAAACAACGCTGGTTGAAAAACACTGGACCACAAGAACCGTCTTGTGTTATCCACTCAGCCACCGTGCCACCAATGCAAGATTAGGGGCGTGACTTAAAATAGTTTGATGGATGGTTCAATCCAAGCTCCAATCACATGAACAGCTGCATTGTGCCGGATCAAAACATTTCTCTGACCACCCCTAAAAATGAATGTGGTGCATGAGGGAGTGATTGATGGCTGACTATAAGTCTATTGTCAATGTCCGTGATGTTACATGAAGGCACTTAAAGCCATTCTATATACGCCTCTGATGAATAGAATGTATTCTTGTATAGCCCTAGGTCACAACAGAAGTCATCTCAGAGGACTTAACAGAACCATTGAAATCACCAACACAGGTCAGAGAATCAACAGTTAAAACACATGAAGAATATAAAGCACACACAGAAGAAAATGTCCATACATGTTGTAGAATGCTAAAGTGTCCTGGATCATCACCAATCCTTTCTGTTGGACACTAACTGTCCAACAAGACCCTCCTGCATCGACAAGGAAAAACTCTTAAAAAACCCAGTGGGAAAAAGTGAGAAACCTTGGGGAGAACTAGGGAAACCCACAGGGAGGGAGACCCATTTGAGAAAGGGATCCGCTCCTCCGGACGGACAGGCTAATGATCTAGGACCTAAGCTACAGAACGTGGACCAGTGGCCGCTGAGTGTGGACAGGTCCGGTGCAGGACTGAAGCACTCCCAGGCGGGTCGGGCAGGGCAGTCCGCAGGTGTAGATGGAGGAGGCCAGGCTCAGAGATCCCGTCATCGTACCATGAAACAGACAATGGGACAACGGGTGAATAGCAATGAACAGACTACAGTCAAAATCCTAATAATGCTAAACAGGTAAAGTAGGAAGGAGGAGAGGATAGTGCTCAACCATACTTCTCCCAGCAAACTGACTGAATGAACAGGTTAGACAAGTTAATGTGCAAAGATTAATGATGTATGTATTCTACTTTCAAACTTAACATGAAAGTGACCTCTTTTTTATTTTGGTACTTCATCGGGGGCATGTCTTTGCAGTTTGACCGCCGTCTAGACCTGTACCATCCATCATATCTTATTCCCATTGCACTAAAGCTGCACTTTTTCCAACATAGCAGCCAGAGACGCCTCCTCGCTGACATTTCCCTTCTCTACTCTATTATGCAAAAACATGTACAAACAGTTTTTCCACATTTGCATACTGGACAAATTATCTTGACGTTGCTTTGTGATGAGCTGATGATGACCCTTTAATCCTGTCTATCCAAAAACGACCTTGCATTTGTTTTTCCTTTCTTTTTTTAAAATCTTAAGCATGGCAAACCCTTATTTTAAAAGAGTTGTAAATGTCGTTATTTTTGATATGATTGCCATTCATTTGCTTTTTAATCTGAAGTTGTTAAGTACTTATTCAAAGGATTGGTAGGTGCGCTAAATCCAGAACAATGGCCGGTTGATTGGTGTCACAAAGTTCTCCCTGGTTAATTTCCATTCACTTCAGACTATAATAATCATTGTTATTAGTTCAAATGAATTGCTGTGCACTTCAACAATAATGCTGGTGAGATTTAAATCAACAAGACCCAAATGACCGTTAATGATATTTCTGATGACATAGGCACGCCTACATAGACTACACATGTGGGCGTGCCTGTGTTTGATCAGTGATTAACTAAGCCAACCCAGGACTAGAAAAGACATGTTGTTCTTTTGGAAGTGTAAATGTTAGTGAGACAATTTTACTTTGGCCAGTATGTTGTGATGAATAACGTTTGCAACCATAAACAAAATGATGTATTGATTGTTATTTGAATGTGTCAATAGAAATCCACACACGAAAAAGTGAAGTGAAAGCAACATGATTCATAGTTATTTTTCAAAAAATAGATGAGTATTCATACATCATGTGTTAATACTGTACTTTGTGGAACCCCCGTCTGCGGCAATAACAGCAGTGTGTCTTTTGTAGTAGGATTTCACAAGTTTTTCACATCTAGATACTCAAAGTTAAGCCCAGACATAAAAAACAGGATTTCTTATGGTCTCCTTTTAATTATGGATTTTTGCTTGCCACTTGTCCATAAAGACCAGGGGCCGTATTCCTAAAGATTCTTAGTGCTAAAAGTTGCTCCTAGTGGCCAAATTCTAAGAATTTTCTTAGAATCTTGACCAACTCTTAGAATTTCCCCTAAAAGTGAGGAGTAGCTTCTAGTTAAGAAAAAAGCTATTCCTAAAGAATCCTAGCTCTTAAGTGTGCTCCTAAGGTGAGATCCCTTAAGAGTTGAGAGGAGGACTTTTAGCGACTTAAAAGTTCCCTAAGAGGACAAAATGGTGGACGGTAGAGGCAGGAGAAATATTCTATACACTGGATCACAGTGAATCAGTAAAACGCTGCAGATTGGATCCTGCAGGAATCATGTTTAAAAGTCAATCATGTAAAAGTCATCATGTACAAATATACAGTTTTGTTTTATTAACAGCAATCCAGTTCAAAAAGGAGTGTGAAGAAGTTAATACTTTTAAACTCCCGCCCTCTATTTATCATTCTAAATTAACTTAAATTATGTGGTTGCTACAGCTTAGTTTATTCCATGGTGTATTTACAGTTATGCAACAGTGACATTCACACTGAGACTTGATTTGTGTATGTATAAAATGCTTATATTAATATTTTTTCCTTAATTCCTTTTACATCTTTCAGTATCACAGCCTTTACTAATACTAATGTTATCATAATCATCTATATCCATCCATCCATTTTCTTCCCTTTAATCCATTTCTGGGTCAGGGGGGTGGCAGTCAGAGATGCCACCCAAGTCTCATAGCACCAGCCCCTCACTGACCCTCTGCAGGTGGTGAGTCCACAGGAGGACGGCTGCTCTCTGAGTGTGAGCATAGCCTTGATCTTTCAGTGGGGGCTTTGGGCAAAGTGGGGTTAAGTGTCTTGCCCAAGGACACAACGACAGCAGTCATCAGTGGGAGTCGGTGGAGAAGGTGCAGAGGTGGGAATTGAACCCACGACCTTCTGGCCTTAAGGCCAATGCTCTACCAACTGAGCTACTGTCGCCCCATAATCATCTATATATATATATATATATATATATATATATAAAAAAATATATTTTTTATATATATATATATATATGTATATATATATAAGTGCTCATGTTATATACGTTTGTTAAATATGTGTGATAAATTCGTGCTGCGCAAGCTCTAATGATGTGGTGTAAAAGTCAAACTTACAACAGTAAGTTAGACAATATTAGTAAATACATCTGACTTTCTACCTTTTCTGATTATTTACAATGACACAGTATTCCTAAGATTAGATTCTATGATTGAGTTTGTCCATTAGAGGATCCTTATTTTGCCCATTATCAAAAATATGGTTTCTCTAACTTTTAGGATCAACCAATCACAGCGTCTGAAATGATGACTCATACCTAGCAACGGGGTCGGCCACGCCTCCTCACTAAGATAAAAGTTGTTGTCAATTCCTTGCTCAGAGTTCTCTAAGAGTGTTCTGGAATAACTTTTAAAGCAGCAGTAAGCGATTTGGTCGTTTCCGGCAGTTTCTTCTGCCTGAGCGAGTTAGTAGCCCCGCCCCCGTCTCCTCGTCACACCACATGAACGCGCATCGTGTTGGTGATGGCAGCAGCAGATTCATCTCCGTCAGGTCTACTCGTAAGTATATTAACAACAAACTCTGGGAGTGAAATATTAGCATAGAATAGCTCAGTTGTAACCTAGCTATAACACTGGAAGCAGCTTGGTGTTAGCTAGGATAGCATCACTAAGAAAGAGATAAAAACAATCCAGTCTTTTATAGAATAATACTGCTTTTATAGTTGGCACACTGATAACTGTTGTGATAAACATAATGTTGCAGATTGCAGTGTGACGTGTCTCAACATTATGCACTGTAACATCTGTTACAGTGCATATGTATTAGATGAATGTAATGCATATACATTACAACAACAAAGCTTTACATGAAGGTTATTTAAAGTAATACATTACTGCTTTCCTCACAATTTATATATTTGTAGTTCTTTATAGACAACACTGTAGTAATGTATTATGTGAAAGTAAAGCTGCATCTCACTGGAAGCTGCCTTCTCAATGTCACAAAATGAAGATACATTTATTGATGTAATCAACATCTGTATTATGTGCTTATTGTTCAGAGAATGAAGACAAAATCAAAGTGTATCAGAGCTGTACAGTGAGATGTGGAACTGAAAAACAATTCCAGTAAAGCTTGTCCGAAACGCAAAAGTACTGTCATAACTAATTACGTTACACTATTACACTGTAAGGAAACCACTTTGAAAGAAAAGCTACAAGTAACAGAATATATAAAGTCATTTGTCATAACGGTTCTTTCAGGAAGCACTGAACGCCCTCTGTCCAGAGAAGCTGATGACCAGATCCTTTCCCTGATCTGATGCGTCTGTGAAAGGTGCCAACAGACATTGAAAACGTGCTTTCCTCAGCGGCCCCCATGGTGCACCTCCACTCTGCAGTTCTGAAATATGTTTGTAGTTGTACGATTTCAAAATAAATAAAAATACATTCACCTCTTTCAATGTGCTTTGTTTTATAGTAGGAAAACAAATACAGTCTGTAACGAGTCTAAGAAACTTTATTATGTAAAAGAAGATTTGAAGTTATAGCCGGAAAAATATACACAATGTCCCTACTAAGACAAATAATTACAAGTGATGGTAAGGCAACGTTTGTGTTATCACTTTTTGCTCAAATGAATAACACTGTTATTATCCAGGTCCTTATCCATCGCTGCTGCCAGCGAACACTATCAGAGATATCTAACAAAATGTTAATCTTTATGTTGTAGCTTGTTTGAACACATTTCCTCAAAATAATTCATAAGCAGCCACGCACACACAGCCACAAGCACACACAGTCACACACAGTCACAAGCACACACAGCCACAAGCACACACAGCCACAAGCACACACAGTCACAAGCACACACAGTCACAAGCACACACAGTCACAAGCACACACAGTCACACACAGTCACACGCACACACAGCCACACGCACAGACAGCCACGCTTCAGGGGCCCAGGTTGAAGGAACTGGAGTCTTCCTCTGGCAGAGATTTTCCTTTGAAACATAATAGAGGAGACATCAGTTTTATCTACTCAAATATGACTTTGATATATTCATCATCAACAACATCAGTATTTATTGATCACCAGGAGTGGCCCCTGATCCACAGGATCCTTGAACATGTTTATTTGGACTGTGAGAGACTGTGCATTGTGAGAGAAAGACACTTACATCGGCTGTTTTGGGAGTCGAGTGATTATCTCACTCCTCTTGATTGTTGAAGAAACTCAGCGACAGTTTTGTCAACACTGACTCCTGGAACATGATCGATATTCATTTTGGACCTCAGGGCAGCAACACAACTGTAGGGATGAACGACACACACATCACAACATTATCATAATCACTGCGTCCCATATATGCATTCACAACAACCTACATGACTAATGTGGGGTGTAAAGTCTTCCTCAGGAGATGACAATGGCCATTCTTCTAATTCTGGAAGCAAAGTCTTGTCTTCCCAGTCAATACTAGAGAAAGAAGAGGTCAGCAGAAAAGTATCTAGTCGTTATGGCATTGTTTTTTTTTAAATAGTTATTTAACTTGCATTATGGAGGCTGTTGAACTCTTGTACATTGAAGACCTCATTCCAATTGATTTAGGCCATACTGGAAAAGATACAGAGAAAAGAATGCAATGAAGACATGTAAATTATTACAATGTCTATATTATATCATGCTCATAATTTATTTGGTAGTAGTCAGCAAGACTTTTCTTACTTATTCTCAATACATAATAATAAAAATGTATGTAGTGGTCACGGAAGTTAGATTTGAGGTAAAGAGATATTGTTTTTATAACAATAAAACTAATATACAGAGTGCAAGTTGCAAAACTTTGTCATTGAAGAATGAAATGCAGACCTACATATATATAGTGCAAGCAACTATGTTTCTTGGCAAAAACAAACGATTCATACAGATTAGAAGTGTTCGTAGCAGCCACACCATATTCACAACTACAGACAGCTAATGCTAACAGCTAACGCTAATGCTAACAGCTAATGCTAACAGCTAACGCTAATGCTAACACCACTTCACGGGGGAACTCTGGTGATATGGTCATTTAATTTTGTACATGTGGGGAACTAATAATTGACCGGAGTTTATGGATGACTGAGGCTGGGCTAAGGCTTCGATGTTGTGTTGTCTGTTGTAGTTTCTCAAAGCTAAGCCAAGGTAATGCGCAGTTATTGCCACAAAATGTATTTCTACAACAGCTGGGGATTTTTAACTAGTTAACTTGGTGAAAACCCGCATTACAGTCTCAGGCAACAATATGTATAAATAATACAACTACTACTGCCACTACTGAGTAACATGCTCACCTGTTCAGTCGGAGAGAGGAATCCACGGAGCTAGAGGTCGCCAACATGAATGCAGCTGGTCACCATGTTGCTCCTACTTTTTGTCGTTCCTCTGTTTCTGGCGTTTTGCCTGTATTTAATAAATCCATGGTATTTAGTCTGCAGCAGCGCTGGAGGCGGCTTTTCCTTCTCCGCCATGTTTGTTTTGAAGAGTGCGCGTGCACACACGGGAGAAACCCCTTATAAGGCGTGCTCTCTCGTCATTGGATAAGCACATAGGATGTGAGGTTTTTTTATTATATAGGTGGGAGAAGACTGGAAGGACTGAGAGATCCGTGTTTAGGTACAAACACTCTATATAAGTGATGGCTATTGGAATATATCAATATTTAAGACGTATATTAACACCCAAAAATCGCTTACTGCTGCTTTAAGCTAAGACTCCTAGCTAGGAGTTTTTAGGTTAAGATAAGAGCTCTCTGAGAGGACTCTCAGAATCTTTAGGAATACGGCCCCAGATCTGTGTTGAATACAACTAATAATTGTCCCATGTATGGATTCCCTCCGCTTGGCTGCAGAAATACCTCCACAACTTTATCTGTGGTCTCTCTGGTTGGCTCCTTGGCTCCCATGATGCTGTTTAGTGACCAATACTCTCCAACCATAGCTCTGACTGAGACCCTCAAAGAACATTAAATGGAGACTATATTACACACAGACGAGCTGAATTTAATCGTTAGGGCAATGTGTTATAGCATTCAGCAGTCATTAGGGAAGTTTTTATGACAATTTAATGTGCCTAACAATACACTATTTTCAGGTTTCTCTTTTTAGAAAAATAACAAAATCATTAATCACTTTCATTAAAATAATTGAAAATTATGTATTTTTTGGGTATGGCTGTAAACATGACAAATGCGAAAAAGTTCAAGGTGTATTCATACTTTCGAGAGGCAGTGCATGTTTGCATTGACTGAAAACAGGGCTGGACTGGCCATCGGGCGTACCGGGCAATGCCAGAAGGGCCGATGCCCATATTTGGGCCGGTCTGTCTGCCTCATACAAAAAAGATGTTTGTGAAAAGTGTAAATCCGTTGAGAAATGTTCGAAGGGGCGCGCGTGTCCGCGGGGCACCTGCTGTATGTACTTGAACGGGATTCCACCACCTCAGCGGCCGCAGTGTTCCCGTATGCAGCGGCTCTGAGCTGGACGCGGGAGCCGCTCACAACACAACACGGAGAGCGCGTAGCCGCAACGTGACCATGTATACCCAAGACCACAAACGTGCACAGGACCATGCGTGTCTTTGCGTAATTTGTGCACCCAATAAATACACCGCTGCAGGAAACAGTCCGCGTCTCCCCTCTCCTCTCGAAGTGCGACTAAATTAAAGCTCGGGTGCCTAAATTTTCCATTGCATTAAAAGTTCATGTTTGAGCCCAAAAGTAAAATGTTGTGAAAAAATTAAACAGATTTAGAGCCAGCCAATGGCTGACATTATGCATTTCAGACTTTTTTTGACCAATTCTCATGTCTGTGTCCACCTCCCTCACTCTGAGACATGTTTATTACTCTCTTGTAATGTAGACTATTGCACTTTCTTTTTTTGTTGAAACTGTAGACATCCTGATCCTCTACAGTATGCTTCCACATACTGTATAAACCAGGGGTCGGCAACCTTTAGTGCCCCTAAAGTGGCTCCTGGAGCCTTTTCAAAAATGTCTGAAAATGGAGTGGGAGGGCTATATTTTATTCCTAGTTTGAATGTGGTTTCTGTAGGAGGAAAAAGATTCCTAACGTTTTTCAATGCTGCAAAAATGCGTATAAGTAATATTCAATTTCAACATTTCTGTCAACGTAGTGAGTCATATTCTGTGGCGCGGCCCCGCGCCAGGCGGCCGCTGCTGTGAACAAACCGGCGTGTGGCACGGATCCCAAAGATAAAAAGAGAACGAGTCGATAATAAGACTGGACTAAGAACAAGACTGAACATTTGCTTTCAGTCAATGAGGAAGGACTGCTTCATGTTTGCGATGTAATAGGAAGTTTTGTTGCAACACGAGGAACAATGAAGCACTAAATACCGTTCACAGGGATTACGTGAAGGATTCTTTCATACAAAATCCGGAGCACCTTTTTCAGACTTCAAAAACCTCCGCAAAGACTGTGAAAGAAAAGGCCATTAAGGACATTCAGCTCCAGCAAACTTCAGCCTGTGATGGATATGAACAGACAGTGCAGGTGCACATTTGATAATCATGAATGCTTATTATGTATTTGTAGCCTTTACTTGGTCATTTAGATAATAGGCTAATGTAGCTAATGTAGCTACATTGTGTAACCTTCATATAAGCTTTATACAAGGCTGTTATTTTTTTGCGGCTCCAGACAGATGTTTTTAGTTTTTTTGTCAAATATGGCTCTTTGAACCTTTTGAGTTGCCGATCCCTGGTATAAACAAACTGTAAAAAACGTGACAAAAACATGCCTGGGCCGGTAAGAAGGAAAAAATGCCCGGGCCGTTTTTTTGTCCCAGTCCAGCCCTGACTGAAAATGCAATTTCTGAAAGCGTTAAGACTATTCACACTATTGTTGATTTTCTTATGTGACCGAAATGTAGCAGTTATCAGCGAGATGGACATGTGCTAGTAACTTTTAAAATCCAAATGATCAAGTCACAATGTACAAGTTTTCACTGTGAGACTTTATACTCATCAAAAGCTGTGATTGTGCAAAGCAGGGTTCATCTTAAATCAGATTTACAGAACAAATAAGCTGTAATGTTGTCAACAGAATTATTATCAAGGCTAATGTTTTCTAAAGTGCTTCACAAACACCAAGCAATGCATCTTAATGGACTAAAATGAGATATGATGACAAATCAACTGTTAAAAGTGTTGGTTGTTGCAAAGCTGCATTGCAACAACCAACCGAGCCGAGCTGGGCGGCACGGTGGCTGAGTGGATAGCACTCTCGCTTCTCAAGAAGGTTCTGGGTTTAAATCCCAGCCGGAACAGGAACTTTCTGAGTGGAGTTTGCATGTTCTCCCTGTGTCTGCGTAGGTTTCCTCCGGGTGCTCCGGGTTCCCCTACCACTAAAAACATGCACAATAGGTCTGAATGTAAATGAGAGAGTGAATGGATGGTGTTGGTTGGGGGCTGATGGTCCAGTGTGTTCGGCGACTCGCTTCCGTCATCACCGTGTGTGGAATGATTGGAACAATATCTGAACTCTGAACATTGTAAAGCGCTTTGGGTGACCTTTGTCTGTAAAATGCGTTATATAAATAAACATAACTTACTTACTTACTTATATTCATGCATGGTTAATTAAAACATATTTTCTTCTGTGTTTAAGTGGCCATTAGAATTTAAATGCGTAATCACCCCTGTTATAAGGAGTTTTATATAACTCCGCAACTAATAACTAAGGCCTTATATACTGCACTTGTATGACCTCAACACTTCCCTAGGAAAGTGAGTGAGTCACGCCATCCGTCCATCCATACAGACAATATAAACACACAGATGTACTAATCACTGACCTAGAAACTCACATGTGGAGCAGGTCCTGAGCTACAGTAAGTGGACATTTTAACTGCCTATGGATTCATGATGTTTTCCAAGGAAGGAAACAAGCCATTGGGAGATTTTCTGTTTTTGAAAAAGAAATTAATACATTGAGAGTCCCTTTAAATCTACTCTATTTGTGTCAGTGATTTTACAAATCAATCAATCAATCAATCAACGTTTATTTGTAGAGCGCCTTTCCTACACAAGGCAACGCAAAGCGCTTCACATCCCCTATCACATCATGCATAAATCAAACACATTAAGAGCACAAGATATATTAAAAACATTAAAAATAAAATCACAAAAATTAAAAACCTTTAAACATTAAAATCACAGATGGGACTAAAATCATAAATAGTCACAGTGCATTAAAAAGATTAAAGATAAAAACAAAGATGAAAAGATAAAATCATTCAGTTGTATATGCGCAGCTAAACAGAATTGTTTTGAGCCTAGATTTAAAAGATGCCAGAGTAGACGCCTGTCTCACATTCTCAGGAAGACGGTTCCAGACTCTAGCCGCATGAATCTGAAATGCAGTTTGCCCATGTCTAGTACCGACTCTGGGCACTAACAGGAGTCCAGTCCCTGTGCTCCTCAGAGTCCGGGTCGGTTCATATGGCACAAACATGTCATGGATGTACCTTGGCGCGAGACCATGGAGAGACTTGTACACAAGTAAAGCTGCTTTGAAGTCTATTCTCTGAGGAACAGGAAGCCAGTGCAGAGACCTGAGAACTGGACTAATGTGGTCGTACTTCCTAGTTCTGGTCATTACTCGAGCTGCTGCATGTTGAATGTACTGCAGCTGTTTTACAGCCTGTTTGGACAGACCTGTGAGCAGGCCATTGCAATAGTCTAACCGACTGGAGACAAAAGCGTGTATAAGAGTCTCCAAGTCTGCCTTAGACACTATGTTTTTAATTTTAGCAATGTTTTTTAGGTGGTAATAAGCTGCTGATGTTACAGATTTTATGTGGCTTTTGAAATTTAAGTCTGAGTCCATTATCACTCCTAGATTTCTGACCTGATTTGAGGGTTGTAGAGAGAGAGCCTGGAGGTGACAAATAACGCTCTCTCTTTGTTTCTGGGGTCCGAAAACAATTATTTCAGTTTTGTCGGTGTTTAGTTGGAGAAAGTTATTTTGCATCCAATCACCGATTGGATGCAAATGTGTGCATAGTATTAGTATTCTTTCATAAAGGTATGAATCCTGCACTACCTTTAAAGAAATATCAAACTAATTTGCAGACAGAGAAAAAAAAAACTTGATAAGACTCTTCTTCTGCATCTCTTAAGCTATGAGATATTGCTTAGCTTATGGGATGTTCTATTTGGCATTGCATAAGGCATTACTTATTGGATTTAACCGCTTGTCATGTGTTCAAATAGAAAACTAATTGCTCGAGTTGCATCACCTTTATTTCATCCTGTCAAGATGTATCATAAATATAGAAGATGTTATTGAAACTACTGTATATGCCACTGGTATGACTCAAAACCGTTAGAGATGTGAAAATAATAAAGGCTGGAAAGGTCCAAAACAGGTTAAAGAAGTGAATTTCTTCAACCTATTAAAACTAGCTAATATTGTGTTGCATTCATACAAAAACCTTGCCATTAGTGCCAAGAATGTGTGTCTCTTGTGTACCTGCCTTACCAGAGATTGTATCTATGAGTACAGTTACCATAGTGTGAACAGAACCTACAGTAATGCCCTGCTCTGCTTGAAAAACAAATAAAAGAATAACGTGCAGTACACGCTGTTCTATTGACAGAACCATCATGTAATTACACCGTCGGATCCCTCAGACTGTAGGTGCCAGAGGACTGAGCACTGACATTTATCTCTTCCAAATGTCTTGTTTTGTAAAGTTTTCACACATTCAGCGGGTTGTGTGGGTTTTTAGAGGACGAGGGAGAAGAAATTGTCAAGAAAATGTGTCGCTCAAAATATGCTTGCCAGTTTTGAAACCGGAAGTGCCTATTAAAGAAGTTTGAGAACCGTTGCATTGGACGTTTTGTGAGTGACCCTATTTCTTTACACTTTTTTTTTTAGTCATCTTGGATTTAAAGTTTCTGACAGAAAATAATAAGAAATGTATCATGTTTTTATGGTTGTTATATGTTTTTAGACACCTTCACCTTTTACTTTTCATTTTACTACTTTTTGTCATCACTTAGGGTTTGGGAGGGGGGGCAAAAAGTCTCATAAAAGAAACATGTTGTGAACAAATCAGACCACAATATTCAATATTCTGTTTTAATTGTTATTATAAACCATGCATCTTTTGTATGAGTAACTTTGGGCTGAGAGCTGATAGGCTGAGTGAGGGTGGTCCTCTCTTTGTCACTTTTCTGTCTGAAAATGCAGATCTACAGATGTGACAGAGGCCAAAAATATAAATGCATGTGTAAATGAGGAGATCAATAGGATTTTAGGACATGTATGGACATCCCACTCCCAATGGACCAATGGCTCCTATGTGCTTGCATTTCCTGTGTTCAAACTGTTTAATTCTCTGATCTGTTGGTGAATCATCAACTTTGTAAAGTCCTTCGAGACGACTGCTCTTGTGATTTAGGGAAATACAACTCAATTTAACTTAGTTATTTGAACCCTGTGGCCTATGTATGTATTTAATTTTGTTAACGCTTCCCTCTGGGGTGCAGGAGCAGGCTTTGGACTCAGCTCCATCAGCTGTTGATCTCCAGAGCTGATTAGAGGACTTGTTTTGTATGTGATTAAAAGCTATTGCCTGTGCAGAGTTTATGAACTTATTATTTAGACTCCAAGTTTTAGGAGGGATGTTTTTTGCCAAAATAGATTGGATTTACCAGAGTGCTTTGAGTCAGCAGTGTGTTAATACAAGTTAAAACACTTCAAGCCTCTTAGATCAGGCAGGGTGATAATTAGAAAACCTGTATCTCAAGATCCATTCAGAACCAGGCGTGTCTTATGGAGTTCAATATGCTTAAGGTTGAACTAACTCTGATCACCATCCCCAAGCTTTTGTGAAAAACAGTACTTTTAATATATAAATAAAAAAACATTCTTGCAGTCCCTGTAGCTTGCCCAATGTATGTCAACATAACATCGACGTAACACACTAAAAATAGTCTGAAAATCGAGCTTCATCTGCCCCCTAAGCTGCACCTTTTGTATGCTGGAACCTGAGTGCAGCACATGTGGACAGGATCATCTTTTGGAGTGTTCCTCTGGCAAACTCTGGCCCCCTGTCATGTCCTCTGCCGCGGAACATCGCGTCCCGGATAATGAGAGCTCCGCGGCAGGTGGCAGGGACACAGGTGGACACCAGGGCCAGCGATGTCATGACTTCTGTGGCGTTATAGACTTAATGACATCTGCACTCATCCACATGCTTCATATAGCTGTGTGGTAAACAAAACTAAAAGATTTGTTCTTTTTTGGCGCGATATTTCTACAGTGACTCATGCAAAAGACCACTGCACAGCTAGTTCCCGGTTTGTCTTTAAAAATATCTATTAAAAAGGAGCACTTTGTCCCAGGTACTTAAGTAATGCAAATTTTGAAAGGTTAGATTTATTTCAATTGTGTGTGTGTGTGTGTGTGTGTGTGTGTAAATTTGCAGAGTATGGGCAGAATTAAAAGATACAGTGAAAAGTGGTTGATTTAATCTTGCAATTATTGTTTTGTTATATTGCAATATGTAATTAATAGCTTTACATGTGTCCATCTATACCCACAAATACAAATTACAGTTATAGAATTACTTTTAAAACTGCTGCTCATGTCTGACAACAAAAAACTATGGAAAACAGACTTGACAAACGAATGATGTAATTCTCACCTTTCTATCTTACACATGTCAATCAGGCCACAATACTCTTCTCAGCAGCACATGGGAGGGTGATAATTAGAAAACCTGTATCTCAAGATCCCTTCAGAAGCCGGATTCACAGACTGTGGCATGTCTTGTGGACTTTGACCATCAACCAAAATAATTCTCCAGTTCATTTGGATCTGGAGACTGGTCCGTGATAGAGGCTGGAAATATGTCATGAGGTTCAGGTATACAACCGAAAGGACAGCTTGGAGAATACAAGCTGTCCAAATGAGTTTCCTCTGCAGAGTGACTGGACGCACCGTTAGAGATAAGGTAAACTCAGGAGGAGCTCAGAGTAGAGCCGCTGCTTTTCCACATCCAGAAGAGCCAATTGTTGGATCGGGCAGGTGTTTGGGATGTTAAGGAAGAAGTGCCTCCTGGACTCCTCCCTGTTGAGGTGTTCGAAGCATGTCCTTCTGGGAGAAGACCTCAGAACTGCAACCAATTTTGATGCATGTTTTAGCACATTTTCATTATTATTTTATTGTTTACAATTGAGATATTTGTTATTCTGGTAGCTGAAAATGTTAGTAACTGACTATCTCCATTCCTTCTTCCATCTGCATTCCATTGTGAAAGCAGCAAGACCTAAGAAGCTAAGGGCAGGTAGGTATTGTGATTTAAGACCTCTGGGAACATTGTGGCAAGACACTTCACCCACATTGCCTGGCTTGTGTCTGGTGTGTGAGTGAATGATTGGTGGTGATCAAAGGGTCCAATGGCTCATACTGGTTGCCTTGTCAGTCTGCCCCAGGGCAACTGTGGACAATGTAGGACTTGGTCACCACTGTGTCTGGAGTGCATGAATATTTCCATGTGAAGCGTCTTCAAATGTCCAGTAAACGCTATATAAAAGTGATGCATTGATTTCTATTCATTATAATTACGTTACCCCATTTCTTTACTGAGGCCAAGGCTTTCATCAGACAAAGGGTCACACATTGCCAATCAGGGCACAGCATCACAGGAGAGGCTTTAACAGTTTAAGTCACTTACCTAAATATGCATGTACAAAATACATCATTTTTATTAAAAATGTGGATTGAAGCTTGGCTCATCTGAAAACCAAATCACTTGTAAGACTACAAAAAGTATCAAATCAAATACGACTGACTTACGGTCAAACAATCCTATCAAAATTGCACACAGAAAATATTTGCACAAGAATAATAGATTGGATACCAAAGTTCCATCTTAAATGCATTACTTTTTACGCCCCCACAAACTTCTTCTCTTGCTCACTTGTGTGTACATGAAACCATTTTGCTTTAGTGCACTCGATGCACAAACAAAAATATGAGTCTTCTTTGTGGCAGAAAACATCTCATTTTCAATTGCAAGGCCACGTCCCGAAGCCCGCTGTCTTTAGGGCTCTACATTAGTCCAGTTTCTATGGTGATGGTTTGGTCTGGACAGGTCTTCAGGTTGCTGTTTAGCTGTTGTGCTGTTGTGCTGCTTAATGTATTCTCTATTCTGAACTTCTGTTTTGCAGGTCTTGACCTCTTAACAATATATGTGCACAGGGCTGTATTGCAGGTATCTAAACTCCTACTGGTAATTAAATAATACTGGCGTATTATTTATATTTGACTTGACCTTTTTAATCATAGATAACACCATTTCCAGTAATATGTGTACAGTATTACCAGGTGGACAAACTCAAACTCACTCATACATACTCACAACATAGTAATTGGTTTCTCTGCCTGGAGCACTAAGCATTGAATTAAATTCCTTATCAGTAATTAAAAATAAGGCTCAGTGGATGCAAAAATAGAACATAAAATAGAAAAGAAAATTCCACTCATGTCAGAATAAATGTCAGAGCAACCCCGAAGATAGTTTCTCAAATGTAGCTCATTAAAACCATATAGCTAATAAACAGTAGTGTATGGACTTTATTAATTATACAAGCCCTGCCCTGCTCAATATACTGGCTGTCATTAAAAGCATGAAAAACAGAAGTTATTCTTCATATTCACTCTGAGCATAAATATCCACCACCAAGAGGTTTAACCTATTAAGATAAGATAAGATAAGATAAACCTTTATTTGTCTCACAGTGGAGAAATTTCAGTGTCATTGTTGCGCACATTACAGCAGAGAGGGGAAATAAGAGCACTCAGATTGCACACATAAAATTGAGTCTATTATTTAAGATAATAGTCTATAAAATTAAGATAAAGAATAATATAAAATAAACTCTGGGGCTATAATTGCACTTGGTTCCTAAGTATTTACAGATGTCTATATTATACATTAGCAGCGGAGAATATGAGAATATGAATATGAGCAGAATAAACATCAGAAATAATATCAACAGGTAAAGTGACTTGAATGGGAGAATTATCAGATGGATATGTAATAATGCAGTAGTACTAATAACAGGTAAAGTGACTAGTGACAAAGTTACTAGTGAATTATCAGTGACACTTGTACAGACTCAGCAGCTATTTCCATAGCTTTCAGAGCTAGCGAACGAGCTTCACACAAAAAATCTCTTTAGGTAGATTCAGAATACTATCTACTTAAAGAACACAACCTCTATCCCTCTATTTTTTTGTATTATTAATGATACATGAAAAGCGACGTAAAAACGACAATGCAACAAAAGAGGCTTTCTTAGCTTCAAGAGTTTAATTTTATATAATCTATCACAACATTGTGTATCGTACCAATTTACTTTTGCACAGAAAATCATCTCAAAATGTATGAGAAAATCCCTGTGAACCCCAGTCACTCCAAAGTCACACCAAAGTCAAACTGAAGTCGTAGTCAACCAGAGATTAGACCCTACAAAAATCCCATTGGGATTTCTCCCTTAAGGGAGAAATAGTTTCTTGTGGACGGACCAGCTATAGATGAGGATTAACATATGTAGGTGTGTAGGTTTCCTCCGGGTGCACTGGATTCCCCTACCACTAAAAACATATAACATAAGTTCAGGGTGAATGAGTGTGTGTTTGCCCAAGACTATAGTCTGCTTTATATACTGCTGCACACTGTTCCCTCCAAATGAATGAATAAAATATATTTGCAGAGAAGTCTTATCATCCAATGGAATCATTAATAGGACAAGGAAGATTATTTCATGGCAAATGGTTGGGGATATAACTATAATTAAATCTGTAATTATACATTTTACATTATGAAAAAATAGTATGGGCATGAATGAATCTGTGTTTAAGGGGTTCTCCCTTCACTGGACAAACAAGCTGGTAACAAACAAGAGTGGAGCTGTGAACATTCAGCAGTAGCGGATGTGGACATTTCGGGACTTTTTTGTGTCATTGACCCAAATATAACACATTGGTACAGTTTAGTGTGGAGTGAGCCATATTGCTCTTTATGTTTGTTACACAAAACGAATAAGTACCATGAAAGTTATAACACACTCCAAAAAGAAACTGAAAACAACAACCACCTCGTAGGTCATCCACCGGCTGCCAAAAAAAGCTGCTTTTGTTGCCACACGAGTCTACATCTCCATGGAGACATCGGGTCGGAGATAGATCAGATCAGACAGTGTGTTGGCGTATCTACACTGCATTCATGTCATGTCTGGCTTCATGGCTCATAGCAGTGTTTGGATATAAGGACAGGGGTTATAAAAAGCACCATTGACAGTTTGAGCTTATGCAATGAGATACCTTGGGATGTTTAGTCACAAACAGTATACATGTTGCTCCATTTCTGTGGCTCTCAACATCTATGTAAATGCATATAGTCTGGGAGCCTGTCAAATTTCCTCTGTTATGGTTGGAAGAGATTAAACATAAACTGATCTTGCATCCATGCATTCAAGGAGTACTGAATAATTTGGGGGAGATGCCGTTGAAAGAAATGTTTAAAAAAAAATCCAAATGTTTTCCCAGATCCTTTTTGATAGTGATCCACTTCACAAAACTCTAATATTCTTCTTATGCTGACCAACATCATGCATGTTTTTTGAATATTGTCATCACTTCCAACACTTTTATAAGGAAATAATTGGACAGCTGCACTGACAAAGAAAATGTTGCACTTTGTGGCAGTTTTTGTTTCCCGTTGATTGGCCCAGGAATTAGAGAATTAGCTATACATTTAGACTATTTACCATAGTCAATAGGAAAGAATTTTTCCCTCCACCACAATTTTAAATAGGCTCTTTGGAATACATGAACACAACTCATTGAACAATCAAATCCAGTCTTGTTTCAGGCAATGCCAATATTTTTTTTCATTATCTAAACTACTTTAGATTCTAAAGTAATAAACTCCTGGGTTAAACTCCACCTCTAGACGCTGCCTTTCTGTGTGGAGTTTGCATTTTCGGCCCGTGTCTGCGAAGATTTCTTCTGAGTGCTCCAGTTTCCCCTACATCCCCTGTACAAAGTGTCTAATGTAGAGAACAGATGGTGAAGATCGGATGCTTTGATGCGCCTGTGTGGAGTGAATGGAAAAATGAATAGTACTTCACAAACATT